GCACGATATATTGTTACACCCCTACTGGAAACTCTCCTGCTGCCATTTCACATTCTCCCTCTCTCGCTCTGTGTTGGCCTGAGAGATACATTGAGAGAACAGAGAGACCAAAGATTTGAGAAATGCAGTGCCTTAGAGAGCAGAAACTGCTGCCTCATCTTCATGGGAAGAAAATAAAGAGGAAGGGAGAAAGGGATTTTATTCTAATCTTTCTGATCCTCATCTGACCACATGATAACAAAACTCACATTATCACTTTACATAACATGCAAGACTCTCTTCCTCTCTATAACCTCAAACATCCTCCCAACTGAAACCTCAAATATAAAAAGGATTATTTAAATATTCTGCATTATACATTTAGTTTTGACTCCATTCTTTCTTAAATCCTGTCCTTTCTACTAAACCCATCCATCCGTGAATCCATCAATTCAATCAGTCAGGAAATGTGTGCTCTTGACGCAAGTCTATTACCTCTTAAAGACATACACAAACAGAACCAGAAACGTCAGAGACACGCTGGTTTCCATGCTATGTTGACCAAAGGGGATCATTAATTCAAGATAACTGATTCAGCACAGTGCACACTTCTGCAGTGGAAACACACACACATTTCCCAAACGGTCAGGGCCACGTATGACGTAACAATAATATCACTGCAGAGACTGGGGAGATAAAACATATTGAAAGAAAAAGGTTTGATTTAGAAACAGAATGCCACATGATTGTACAAAGACTAAACTGTAATTCTGTCTAATTACAGTTAACCATAAAAATAGAGGGAGAGAGAACAGAATCCCAGGATGTATTATTAATGAAGTTTCGCTCTCTGGATGATACCACTTTCATCACAAACCTACACAAAAAAAGAGAGCTTTGCTTGCTTAAGTTATGCTCTTATTTTTCTGGACAATTAATATGTACAATACAGTGGGGAAAAGGTGTAGATAGAATTTATATATATACACTCACCGGCCACTTTATTAGGTACCCCATGCTAGTAACGGGTTGGACCCCCTTTTGCCTTCAGAACTGCCTCAATTCTTCGTGGCATAGATTCAACAAGGTGCTGGAAGCATTCCTCAGGGAGTTTGGTCCATATTGACATGATGGCATCACACAGTTGCCGCAGATTTGTCGGCTGCACATCCATGATGCGAATCTCCCGTTCCACCACATCCCAAAGATGCTCTATTGGGTTGAGATCTGGTGACTGTGGAGGCCATTTTAGTACAGTGAACTCATTGTCATGTTCAAGAAACCAATTTGAAATGATTAGAGCTTTGTGACATGGTGGAAGTAGCCATCAGAGGATGGGTACATGGTGGCCATAAAGGGATGGACATGGTCAGAAACAATGCTCAGGTAGGCCGTGGCATTTAAACGATGCCCAATTGGCACTAAGGGGCCTAAAGTGTGCCAGGAAAACATCCCCCACACCATTACACCACCACCACCAGCCTGCACAGTGGTAACAAGGCATGATGGTTCCATGTTCTCATTCTGTTTACGCCAAATTCTGACTCTAACATCTGAATGTCTCAACAGAAATCGAGACTCATCAGACCAGGCAGCATTTTTCCAGTCTTCAACTGTTCAATTTTGGTGAGCTCTTGCAAATTGTAGCCTCTTTTTCCTATTTGTAGTGGAGATGAGTGGTACCCGGTGGAGTCTTCTGCTGTTGTAGCCCATCCGCCTCAAGGTTGTGCGTGTTGTGGCTTCACAAATGCTTTGCTGCATACCTCGGTTGTAACGAGTGGTTATTTCAGTCACTGTTGCCCTTCTATCAGCTCGAACCAGTCTGGCCATTCTCCTCTGACCTCTGGCATCAACAAGGCATTTCCGCCCACAGAACTGCCGCTCACTGGATGTTTTTTCTTTTTCGGACCATTCTCTGTAAACCCTAGAGATGGTTGTGCGTGAAAATCCCAGTAGATTAGCAGTTTCTGAAATACTCAGACCAGCCCTTCTGGCACCAACAATCATGCCACGTTCAAAGTCACTCAAATCACCTTTCTTCCCCATACTGATGCTCGGTTTGAACTGCAGGAGATTGTCTTGACCATGTCTACATGCCTAAATGCACTGAGTTGCCGCCATGTGATTGGCTGCTTAGAAATTAAGTGTTAACGAGCAGTTGGACAGGTGTACCTAATAAAGTGGCCGGTGAGTGTATATAGGGGGGGAAATCATGCAATTAAAATGTTACTACAATGAATGCATTTCAGTGGGATTGACCATGAGAAAACCAATGGGAAAACCAAGGGATGTGTCTCTCTAATGCTTATAAAAGTCATAGAATACCAATGTGTATTTAGAAAGAGCATAACGAAAATATGCATATGCAATATTTACATGAATATATACGACACACTTGATCAGTTTGAAAAGCTTTGAAAGAAGACAGTAAAAAAGCCAGATCTTATCCAACGTGTATTCGGCAAGTTAATGGATGAATGTGTGTATCTGCTATACTGTAGGTGTTGTTGTCACATGCTAACTCAGCAGAGCACCAGATGGCCTGTTTTTCAGCACTTCCCGGCCCCCGTGGCAGACGGCATCCCGCGCTAAATCTTCCACTCATCCTCTTCCTCATCTGACCGAGCACAGGGAAGCGCATGGCTCATGGTGCTAAGCTGATCTGTCTCCAGGGCAACAGCTATTTCTGTAACACTCAAGTTCAACACTAGCAGAGCCGCCTCTCTTTGATGTCCCATTCTCTCACATCTGTATGCTGCTGCTGCTGAGGTGAGGGTGGGGCCGGAAACTCATCTGGTAGCAATAAAAGACTTAATGCAATGAGTCATATCTACGCAAACACACATACAGAGAGCCAACCATACTATTTAAGGAACCGGGGCCCTACCTTAAGGATAAAGGTTCTTACTGCTCCTACTGCTCTCACTCATACACACACACACACACACACACCAAAACACAAATGAACACACGTGTTCCTTCACTCTCTCACACATATATATACACATAGAACTTCACATCAGCACAAACTGCTCAAGACTGTGAATCAGCTATGCTTAGTCAACAACATATAATTTGAATGTGTCAATAATAGAAATCCAATGCGTGACTTCAGCATTTTAAAAATAAATGAAATATCCTGTGTCTTTTTTTAATACATGTCCAGGGACTATAGTTGAAAATGAGCTGTAATAGCTAAACTGGCATACACAGAAATGTTGGTCACTTTACAATAAGTTCAATTAGTGAATCCTTTGGGTATCATGATGACAATGAACAATTTTCCAGCATTTATTAATTTGTTATTATTATTAATTGACAATTAGTTATTAGATTATAATAGATTATGTATTACTATTAATACTATTTTATTATTTGTTAAAGGGGTGTTTTTTTAATTTTATAATCTTTTTATTTATTAAAGATATTTTTTTTATCTTCCTTGATTATATTTTTTCATTTATTTATTCAACTTTAAATGTTAATAATACATTAGTATATGTAGAAATTAGTATCGTCCACAGTACACAGAACAGTATCGTCCATTGTTCATCGTTCATGTTCTATCCAGTACATTAACTAATGTTAATAAACAACTTTAATCTAATCAGAATAAAGTAAATTATAGGGTAAATAAATTTCCGATACACCAGTCAACATCACATAAATTTTACTATAAACTCTAATAGGTCTGTATAAACATAAACACATGTGTTTCATGGACAGAGATAAGCTATACATGTAATAACTTTACTGAGTCTCGGTACTCAAGTTCTGGAACCAGAACATACATTATCATAAAATCAACACTCTTAAATAATGAATACATCTCTATGGTTTCAGTGTGAGGTGTTCAGTAATTACCTTAATCCGCCAACCTAATTCCAGACTTTAAATGGAAAAGATCCAAAATCCAAATTGAGCACACTAAATGAACTAATTAGTATACACAGCTTCGGATAAAGGATTTAAAACCATAGTAGCCAACACGGGCCTACACAACACAAACTAAATGTTAGTGTTAATATTACTTTTATGTTTAAGCCTGTATTGCTCAAACCTTAATGACCTGTGCAACAATTTAGAAAATGGCAGCGTAGGCCTACCATATAAGCTCTGCATGTGCACAGCAAAAATACTGATTTTATTCCAAGGCCCTCTAAAATTTGATTGGTCAATAACTACTATCAGCAATCAGACATTTCTGAATAATTACCGTTGTCCAAGCCAACACTAGCCCCTCATTTGGGCAACCTCCTTCATTGTTGTAGTCTATTCAAGAAAGAGGCTAATAAACTAATATAAACGATATATAGACTACAATCAATATGTGTATATTCATTTGGTAAGAAGCCATGCAATAAGCCGTGTGTAAATGAGTCTGTAATTGATCTGCAAAATACAGATCCAGCAACATTTGCAAAATGGCGTCCACGCGCACAGTGAGCTGCTCAGCCTGTCATCACATCTCTGAGAGCGCGCGCACAGGCACACGCCAAAGCGCTCCTGCGCGTCACGGCGAGCAGAGATACATCAATGCGATGATTTATGGAAAACTTGCAAAATTATTAAATGTGACAGAGCACTCCATTGGGAAAATGCAAAATAGTTTCTAATGCTTCTAATGCAGTCACTGTTGAATTTCAACCTTAAATACATTTGAGCATTTACATTTTAAAAATCATAAATTTCAATGGCCATTCAGTGGATGCTTCACTGGAGCAGAGATTGTTTTCACCTCATTTATGAACCTCTCATTTTAAGAACCTAATTTGTCGTCTGCAAGAAGTTAAAACGTGAAATACATTTTAAAGGGGATTTAATAGGAAGGGGTGACTGTCATCTGAGAACCCCTTTTTATCGATTTGTTATTGATCCATGGCCTGATCTAATTTCATGTAGAATGGATAAACATGGCACACAAAGGAAAATGCTTGCTTATGCTTCTCCAAAGAGCTTCATTGGTTATGCTATGACCGTCTTCTTATTATAATCTGACATAATTAATGATCATCTCTCACCAGGCTCATGGATGCCAGGGTTGTCGCTCATCTCCAGGACGAGCAGCTCTCGGCCCTCGGAACTCTCCCCGACCGTGTAGATGCGGGTGATGGAGGGGCACTGCAGCCACACGGACACCAGGGCTTTCCGCATCTCCTCATATCGGTGGTACTCAAACGAGATACCTCCTTCCCCCGCAGCATCCCCGCCCGAGGCCAAGGCCAGCATCAGCAGAGCCCCGCAAAACACCGCCGCCGTCATCACTCCCGAAACACTGGACACTTCTCTCTCTTCACGTATTTCTATTCGGTCTCTCTTAGCACTGCTGTCTGTCTCTCTTTTCTATCCTGTCTTTTTCGTTTGCTGAGTCGTGCCCCGTATGGAACCGCAGAACTGATGCGTGGGCGCGACGCGCGAGTCCTGACTACCTGTTTAGCCGCGGGGACGCGCGTGAGATAGCGGACGTGCAGCTCGCAGTCGCAGCCGCTGAAAGCTCAAGATTACACACGCGAAATGGGTGAACGCGCACGGTGCTACCCCTGCAGGGGCGTGGCTTATGTAATGACGAATGGTCTTACGGTTTTTCCAAACGTCATTTTAAGTAAAAGTATACCTTAGGATATCGACTATAGTATATCAGTATTAAAAAATATATATATAAGTATTAAAGAAAGTAATGTGCAGGTAAATTCTATAAGAATGGCACAGCTGATTGTAGCTGAGTGGAGAGTTGCTAGAGTCCGTGTTAATACATTTTAAATATTAACATTTACAAACATTAAATGGATTGTTCACCAAAAAAAGAAAAGAAAGAAAAAATTAAAGAAAAAAATATATATATGAAAAACTGTCATCATTTTTAGCCTACTCATTCTCATGTTGTTGAATATGAATTTATTTTTCTGCAGAACATAAATTAGTCCTGGCTTTAATCTTGGTATAATAGTTTTATAAATAAAAACTCATTTTTTTATATTTAAAAAGAAACTTACCATAACTACTACTGCAGAAACTGGTCAAATATGCAGCTACTAGGTCATAGATGACACAAATCAGTTCATGGCCATATTCATAATCATTTTCTTTATGATAATGTCTCTAGAGGCATCACTAGATCTTCTGACATGACATAAACACACACAAACAAAGAAATATATACTAATACAAATATGAGCTGCAATTATATAATGAAGGGAGCTACATTTTTAATACCCTTACAAAAAAAGGTAGGCTACTGTCGTAGTCCCATAGTGCATGTAACCTACCAGATGGTAATAACATGCATAGTAGTCTACATAGCCTATAACATGATAGGCTACTGGATATTTACATGGTACTCGTGGTAAGTCCATGGTACTTTTTGTTACTTTGTTGCATGTGTAATGTTAAGTGTGAAGAGTGGAGGTGTGGTACATTTTTGTAAACAGTAATGAAAACATTTGGTTACAATAGCGCGCCCCCTGCTGCCCACCAACCAACCAACCTTTCAAGCGGTGGCAGTGCCCTACTTTACTTCCAGCTTCACGAGGTCTACTTGCAGTCTCGAGCATGACATGGCGACTTTAAATTAAATTTTACTTTAAAAAATGCGTCTCACTACCCTGCCTCCCATGTTTTTAAACACATATTCTGTGTGAATGACCCATTAACTAGTTTGGTCTGCTTCTCGAGATTCAGATTCGTGATTTGCGAAATAAATCCTTCAGGACTCCTTGCGACTCGAGTTGGCAGATTCAGAAGAACCGAATCGATTAATTTGTCTTTGGCATCACACAAACGCAGAACAAAGAAATATTAACTAACATACATACAAGCTGCAACTACATAATGAAACAGATTTTGTTCGAAATACCTCACAAAAAGGAGAGATTCAAAGGAACCGAATTGATCGAAAAATTCAATAGAAAATCTTTTCTAGAACAGCTTTTTGTGCTGTTATTTATTTATTTTTGCTGTGCAGTGGCAAATGTCATTAAAATGTGGAGAAAGTTTTAAAAGTAAAACTATTAATTTTCAATAAAAATAATATACAAGTAAAGCAGAAATTTTCAAAAAATTTACTCAATTACAGTTATGAAGTATTTGTACTTCATTACTCTACCTCTGTGGACTTGTGTACATTAAGGATAAAGAGATCATCTACCAACTCTATATGACACCTTACATACTGTAATATGTATCTGCGACTGTCTGTCTACCTCATATAATACTTTACATATGTAGTATATTCTGTTTTGAAACTGTCTACCCACCACATATGGCACTACACATTACAGTATGTATATCCCGGACTGTCTAGCTCCTCACATGACACAACACATTTATATTGTAATAATATGCATATTTTGTTGTGGGTTAGGGTTAGGTTAGTGTACCCACCCCATATGGCACTTTTCATACTGTAATATGACATTTGACTTGTACGATGATCAGTGATGGGGATTGTAAAATTGTGATGAAAACACACATAGGGATAGTGTTTGAGAGCTCTCACTGTTCTTCTACTAGAGCGCAACCACAGAGTCAGCGTTTCTGTTACGTTGTTTTTATTAAGTTGCCTTCAAATTAACAAGCAAACACCTCAATTATCTCTTTCCCCCCCAAATCCATTCCAAGCCATATTTATATGCTATGGATGGTCACTGCTGAAAGTTATAAAATCTTTACAGGAATTTTGCAAAAAAATCAGGAAAGGCAACAAAGCAAAAAAAGCCATTACAAAAATAAGATTTTAAAATATTGTGTCATTGTTAAGGTGAAAGTAAAGTGCTTTTGATGAATGATGTTTTCATTACTTAAGACAGATGAATGTTTATAATAATTGAGAGCACAGAACACAGGCTGACATCCTTTCATTCCTAACAACCAGTCCGTTGGGAGTATTGTGATCGGTTGGTTTAATGATGTTTGTGAGGGGGTGTTTTCCCTTTTCAAAGGCACATTGCTGTAAGAAGCTGACATTGATTTGAATCCATTCAGTCCAATTTTAAATACTTTACAGTGAGTGTGTGCAGGGGGAGGCAATGCAAAAGCATCAGACCAACCAAATCCCACATAAGAGTCCATGAGAGATAGATAATTCTAGATGATGATGAAGCATCAGTGTATGTGAGAGAAATCTCTGTCAATCAGTCGCTCTTCACAGCTTTATGATGTGTGTAATGTTTGTTAAACTGGGAATCGGTGTTGAAAAGTCTGTCCCACCAGGTGAATGTAGATCCATAGTTGCCAACAAAATTCATGTGGTGGAAGTCATGGAAACGAGCTCCAGCATAGAATGGAATCAAATGCAGGGGGTTCAGAGGAATGTCGTAACCACTAAAGAGAGGGCAAAAGAAGGAACGTCAAAGAACAAAACACATACATACTCTAAAGATAAATGACATGATCAAAAAAGTATTATAAAATATTTTTTTACCAGGACATATTTCCACACATAATATAGTTTAATCATATAAAAATCCTAGAATTACTGTTATAGCCAAACTTGTAAATTAGAAGGCGGTGTCCACATACTTCTAGACATAGTAGTAGTGTATCAAATGAATACATTTGTAATATAGCGTTGCAATAAGTTATTATCAGCATCACAGTGTTGACATTACCAAATGTACTGATCCAGACCATGGCACGTCCACATTCAATTGTGTTGTGTGTCCTGAGCTCACCTGTGAACATCAATGGTTTCAAGCAGCCGGAAAGTGACCCAGGCCCAGAGCAAAATCATGTGATTGCAGAAGACCATGATGCCAATGAAGAATCCAGCACCCAGAATCAAAGTCTCAGCAGGGTGGGCATATTCTGCCTGCATGCCAAATGGAGCCTAACACACACAATAAAAAAAGATGGTAGATCAACTATCATTATTAAGAAAAAAAGGAAATAAAAATTAAGAGTTAAGGCTCGTTCACAACAAGAACTATAGCTATAAAAATAACGGTAACTATATTAGCATCCACGCTGATGGATAAAAAAAAGGTTGTGTTTATAGGCATGTGATGCATGCTCGAGCTCTTTAAAGCAGGATAGATTCTGATTGACTGTCAATGTTTCTATCGTTAATCATCTGGGAAAAAAATCCTTGTTTCACTTTATTTTGATGGTCCCTTAAACAGATTCTGTTGACTATAAGTAACGGTACACCTACATGTCTACTAACTCTGTTAGTAGAGTATTAGTAGACTGGTAGGGTTAGAATAAGTTGACATGTACTTGGAAAGTTGCTTATAGCCATTAGAATGTCTTTTGGGGAGAACCACAATAAAGAGTTAGCAAATATTAAGCAGACAGTCTACTTATACTCTAATGAGCGTTAGTTGACATGTAGTTGCATAGTTACTTAGTCAACAGAATGTTGAAAGTGTTACCTAAATCCTTGTGAAAGTTATTCTAACAATATTGTTTTTCTGTGCTGTTAATTTTATATATGTGGTGTGGACTCTCTTTTATATTTAGAACGATTTTTAGAACTATACTATTATCATTAGTGTTATAGTTATCGTGTAAACGGGCCTTTAGCAAATATATATATATACTGTATAATATATATATATATTGAAAATATTAATTATAATACAATGTAAAACTAAAAGAAAAGAACATGTAATAGTAGGAATTCACCAAAAAGTTTAAATTAAACTACTTCTACATGCCTATCTTGGCTGTCTTATAGTTTCCCTTCATCTGCACTTTGTGTGTGTATTTGTGAGAATGCGAGTAACTTACAGTGAAGTCATGATGGACTTTATGAATGTACTTGTAGATTCTGCGATGATGTAGGGCTCGGTGGAGGAAGTAATGCCACGTGTCCTCAATTACTGCACAACCAAAACACTGGGCCAATATAGAAGGCCTGAGATGGTGAGAGAGATTATAAAAATGAAAACAAGGCCCACTTTCTTCAAAAAAAGATTTCAGTAAAGCTGCAGAACAACCTCAGGACTTTGACTGTTACTTCATAGACCTATTATCACAGAATTCTTCATATATGAATCACTTTTTAAAGTGAGAGAGCTGTTCTCACCAGCGAGGCATGGAGTCCCAGTCATAAGGGATGCTGAAGAACTCAGTAAAGTAAAATGTTCCACAGATGAGCGGTAGCTGGATACAGAAGTGATTAAACAGCAGCATTTTAAAGCACTTCCACTGTTTCTCCCATGTCTCTGGTTTATCCTGCAAGCACAACAACAAAAACATATGAAAAGTTAATAAAAACAACATTTTTAGCAAGAAAAAAATATAGAAATGTTAAATTTAAAATAATAAATCCTTTGATTGCACGTACCTGTTGGATTTTGTACTTCTGCATGAAAGGGAAGAACTGAAAGATAAATCCAGGCAGACAGAACAGGAAATAGATGAGTTCATGGACGATGAGCGAGCCCCAGGTGGCGATCTGGAATTTGCTGTAGTTCTGGAGCATGTGGTTCCACGCGTGCTCCAGAGGTTCCTGCAGCGGATTTTCTGGAAGAAATGAATCCACATATTCCACCGCCAGATATGCAGAAGACAGAATGTTGGCTGTGCCGTTCACCTCCATGGCAGCGAGTCAGTGGGACTCTCCAAATGAGTAACTGTATTAACACATGACATGAATAAAGATTATTGACACTCAGTTATCAATCTCAGAGTGAGGCTTGCCTGAAATACAGGTAGTTCATATGGAAAAATCATATGCTTCATGTCAGTACAGGGTTACACCAAACTATTAATGTATGTTACAGCTGAATTCAACTTTGTTTGATCACTGGTTACACCCAGATGTTGCTTGGGTGTAATGATGAACCCATTATTCATTGAAGTTATGCAAGCTTTCCAAATTAAACTAATTTATATACCTCTAAATTTTACACATTTGTGGTGACAAATAAAATAGAAATTTTAAATTAACACATTTTAACGGTGAGATTTCATTTTATATTTCAATTATCAAATATGCATGATCATATTTTGGTAGCCAGAATAGACAAAATAAGCTGGTCTGGTTGCATAACAATAAATAATCATAAATACACAAATGTAAAGATTACAAGAGACACTATTAGGTATTTTGGTCATATTACTGCACGTGCATGTCTGTTAAATCACAATAACAATCATAACCCCTAAACATTTTATTTTCTCAAAGGCAACTATCTTTTGAAACAATTTCCTAATCAACAAATGCACCTATGTAGTCCAACGGTAATATTTAGCTTGTTTACATTACATTATTTACATGTTAAACGCGTGTTTCCATCATTCTGCTGCTGTAACTCGAACCAGGGCAGATGAAAGAGCGCAAATATTTCTAAAATTTCTTAAAGAACATTACAACAAATATCCTATTATAAGAGTGTAGATTTCAGCACGGACGTGTGGTTGACTCACCTGTGAGAAGCTCTCCTTCTACCTGCGCTGGCAGTAAGGGTCGCTTTTAATGTAATAGAACTTTACATAGAACCATTGGCCGAGAAAAGAGGAGACGGTGTGTGCGGGCAGAGGCTGGCCGCTGATTGGCTGTGACAAGAGGGATACTGACGTATACGGGCAGGGGCGGTGGCCTGATTGGTTGAGGGAATGAACTGACGATAGTGAGACCTTGAGTTTCCGCAGCTGCAGCCAATGAAAACCCGCGATTGTCTTTCATAACCTGCGCTGACGCGCTGACTGAACTACACCTCCTGGCAATGAGGAAGTTTATTTTATATTATTGTTGTTTAATTCTGTTTTGAGATGTAACTATGTATTTGCTGTTATGTTTGTTCAATAATAAAATAAATAAAAAAATAAAAAAAAAGTCTTTTTTTCGGTCAGCCGATAGCTCGGACCCCCGAATATGATCACCCTCGTGCGATGGACCCCATCCTAAAAATTGTTTCTAGTAGCCTACTGCACTGTTATAGAACTGTTACTGTATTTATTTACTACATTTTGCTTTTATTTATTTACTAATTTACTTATTTTTATATATTTTTTTATTTTTAATATCAAACATTTTTATTTGTATCCATCAACTAGTGAAAAATTAATATTATAAATATACCTTAATATTGGACAATATTTAGTTAGTATGTAGTTATTGCATTTACTTTTTTTAAACTTATTTTAATCATTTATTTATTTGTATATAATTTTTAAAAATATATATATATATATATATATTTTTTTTATTCTGATTATTGTTATTTATTTTCACTTTCTCTGAACTGCCTTTATGGCCACCTGAGTGTCCCCGAACCCCAGTTTGAAAACCCCTGTATTAAGTGATTTATTTTATTGATGGAGTGTTACCAAATACATGCATTATTTAACAGTATATATTTACAGTAAACGAAAGTTCACAAGTATAAGTTAATTTCACATTGGAAATATTCAGTAGGCTAACATTAAATTGTCTTGTGCTTCATGTGAACTTACACACACACAAAAAAAAATCATAATGTTAGGTGTTTTTACTAGAAGCATGTTTATTATTAATGATATAAAACAAGTTATGAAACTTCAAGAACACAACATTCCTTTTGACTGATAATTAATAATACACAATTGTATATATATTCATTAATAGGCTTGGTGACAGTAGTTAAAAAGAGTTAAATACTAAACAGCAAGAGCAAAACATAGAAAACCATTAAAGTTACAGAAAACAAAGAAGGAAAAAAAAGAACAAAGAGAGAGAAAAAAAAGAAAGAAATTGTATCTTTATACTTCTTCAGCGTTCAATACCGCTAGTACAGAGAGCACGTCACGTTGGTTAGTGAGTACAGCAGTAGTTTAAGAATGGCACACAAACATCAGTATTTAGAACCATGCAAAGCGGTTTAATACCCAAGCAACCAGCATCAGTCCACAGTATCGTGCATGCCGAAGCGTTCGTTAACGTTTCGAATATGTCAAAGATCGCAATTCTCGAACAACCGGACCACAAGAAAAAAAGTATTAAAAGAAAAAACAACAACAGACGGTTCAAACTTTAAGACTTCAAATGTTGTTTGGCAAACAAATTGCAAAATGTAAAAGTTTGTTCATCTTCAGTAGAGACCCTTCTTGCATATAGGCAAGCAAAAGTTTCAGCTCTAACCATAAAACAAGAATTATCATCATCATCATCATCATCATCAACATCATCATCAACCAACCTTCATAATGAAGATGTTTAAAGTCCAGTGACTTCATAAACAACCTTCCAAGAGGCAACAAAGTGCTGGTCCTAAACTAGACACATTTACCCTCAAACTTTATTTGAATAAGCAAAAACCATCAATGGGTTCCTTCAGATCGAGAGATCAAGCAGCAAAAATCTCTGGCCATTCCCTCGGCTCAAACGCAGGAAAGTTTTGATGATGCCACAGACGCGCTGGCCAAATTTTTGCACCAGACTTTTGTCAGAGGTTAGCAACATTTTGTTTCGTCCCTGCTTCTTCAGGGCTCCTCAAAGTGCAATAAACTTCATCACTGACTACTCTCAAACAAGAGAAACAGAAAGAAAAGAGAGATAAAGAGTGTGTAAGTGTATAGCTAGAGACAAAAAGAGGTAGTGTGAGAATGCTTGTAGTTAAGTATTTAAATGAGTGTGTGTGAGAGAGAGAGAGAGAGAGAGAGAGAGAGAGAGAGAGAGAGAGAGAGAGAGAGAGAGAGAGAGAGAGAGAGAGAGAGAGAGAGAGAGAGAGAGAGAGAGCAGTATTCTCCAGGCCATGTCCATGGTGAAGCAGTTCCAGGATGAAGCTTCAGCCATCGTAAGAGCTTCAGTGTGAGCGAATCCTCTGCTGTACGTCAGCGTCAGCTACAGTGTTCAACAACTCCACAGCTGCTTAGAGAGGCTTATCAATGACGGTCACACCTACACACACACACAAAGACAGCGGATCAGTACAGTCATTCTAAAAAAATACAGCAATCATTAATATCAAATTATTTAATATATTAATACAATTCATTTTTATGAATGTATTTTTTATATATATATTATCTAACATCAAATTTCACAAAAAATATAAACAAAATATTTGTCATGCATGGTTGTAGATTATTTAATAATAGTTTTATTCGGCTGATACTGATAATTACAAAATGGCCAAATATTAGCTTGGCTGATGATGGGTCTATCACAATTAATTTACACGCAGAACGATGAAACATTTGGGACTTTTGTTTTGAACACCAGGTCATACAAATACTCGAATTAACCACTAGATGGGAACCACAATCTGTGCTCTCTTCTGGTCTCTAGTGGGTGCCTCAGGTATCCGTTCATTTTTGACCGATTTCATAAAATAATTTCAATTAAACAGAGCATGATCCTGTTCTTATACTGTAACACTGGCTTCCCCATGACTGAGTATGCTAGACAATTCTAAAAAGTCTATTAAAACATATTCAGCTGTTTTGTCAGTGTAGTTTTTTTCATGTTTTTGAAAGAAGTCTCTTAGGTTCACCAGGCTGCTGCACGGATTTGATTAAATCTACAGTAAAAACTGAAATATTGTGAAATATTACAACTTAAAATAACTGCTTTCTATTCTAATATATTTTAAAAAGTAATTTATTCCTGTGATGGCAAAGCTGAATTTTCACCATCTATCATTCTAATATGACGATTTGCTGTTCAAGAAATATTTCTTATTATCAACATTGAAACAGTTGTGCTGTTTAATATTGTTGTGGAAACAGTGATACTTTTTTTCAGGATTCTCCAAATTAATTGAAAGTTCCAAACAACAGCATTAATATAAATATATAAATCTTTAGTAAAATTATAAATGTCTATACTGTCACTTTTGATTAAATGAATGCATCCTCGCTGACTATTTTATATAGTAATACTCATTTATTTAGAAAAATATTACTGACTAACGTTTGAATAAATGTGTACATACACTCCCTGGCCAATTTTTTTTTAAAAGTCATGTTTTTGGCAACAGTTCTTCTAACCCTAATTGATGGAGTGTGTAGCTTTTCGTTTCTTAAACAGCCATGTTCACCAGGCTCAGATTGTGAAAGAATGGGTGAAAGAAAGAGTCGAGACGTTAAATTCTTTGAAAGTCTTTGGAATATGCTGAAGGAGACTTTACAGAATGCTTGACTCTTGCATTGTCAATCCAAGATCTTGACCAAAAATGTATACACACCTCTTAATGGAAACAACATCACAACATTTATTTCCATAATTTAAGGTCTGGACTGATGATTCTGATGAAAAATTCTTCTTCTTCATGCTTCCTCACAACCATTCTTTCACAATTTGAGCCTGATAAATCTTGGCTTTCTCATCTTGGAATATGGCCATTATGTGCCTTCCTCCATGGCCGTTTAAGAAATGAAAAGCTACACACTCCATCAATTTACTGTTAGAACTGTTGAAAACATATAACTTAACTACAATAATGATCCAATCATAGACTCTTAAGGCTGGGACACACCAAGCCGAAGGTCGGCTGTCTGACGGGCTAGTTGTTGCGGTGTGTTCCACACGTCGGCGGCAGTTTGGCCGATTCAGCATGTTGGTGAGACTGGGAACTCTGATTGGATGTTCAGTTTAGTGAACGAGTCAGTGCATTCATTCAAGAGAAAGTGATGAAAGAGAGGAAGTCAACATGGTACAGACAGAAGACTGATGCAATTAAAAAACGCAAATATATTCATAACAACACGAGCCACTAAAAATGAACAAAGTTATCAACAGAGGTAAGGTAAGCAAGAGCTTCTTTGTTTAATTTCGTATATCTCGTATATCCTTGTTTTGGTTATATATATACACTCACCTAAAGGATTATTAGGAACACCATACTAATACTGTGTTTGACCCCCTTTCGCCTTCAGAACTGCCTTAATTCTACGTGGCATTGATTCAACAAGGTGCTAAAAGCATTCTTTAGAAATGTTGGCCCATATTGATAGGATAGCATCTTGCAGTTGATGGAGATTTGTGGGATGCACATCCAGGGCACGAAGCTCTCGTTCCACCACATCCCAAAGATGCTCTATTGGGTTGAGATCTGGTGACTGTGGGGGCCATTTTAGTACAGTGAACTCATTGTCATGTTCAAGAAACCAATTTGAAATGATTCGAGCTTTGTGACATGGTGCATTATCCTGCTTGAAGTAGCCATCAGAGGATGGTGGCCATAAAGGGATGGACATGGTCAGAAACAATGCTCAGGTAGGCCGTGGCATTTAAACGATGCCCAATTGGCACTAAGGGGCCTAAAGTGTGCCAAGAAAACATCCCCCACACCATTACACCACCACCACCAGCCTGCACAGTGGTAACAAGGCATGATGGATCCATGTTCTCATTCTGTATACGCCACATTCTGACTCTACCATCTGAATGTCTCAACAGAAATCGAGACTCATCAGACCAGGCGACATTTTTCCAGTCTTCAACTGTCCAATTTTGGTGAGCTCTTGCAAATTGTAGCCTCTTTTTCCTATTTGTAGAGGAGATGAGTGGTACCCGGTGAGGTCTTCTGCTGTTGTAGCCCATCCGCCTCAAGGTTGTGCGTGTTGTGACTTCACTAATGCTTTGCTGCATACCTCGGTTGTAATGAGTGGCTATTTCAGTCAAAGTTGCTCTTCTATCAGCTTGAATCAGTCGGCCCTTTCTCCTCTGACCTCTAGCACCAACAAGGCATTTTCGCCCACAGGACTGCCGCATACTGGATGTTTTTCCCTTTTCACACCATTCTTTGTAAACCCTAGAAATGGTGGTGCGTGAAAATCCCAGTAACTGAGCAGATTGTGAAATACTCAGACCGGCCCGTCTGACACCAACAACCATGCCACGCTCAAAATGGCTTAAATCACCTTTCTTTCCCATTCTGACATTCAGTTTGGAGTTCAGGAGATTGTCTTGACCAGGACCACACCCCTAAATGCATTGAAGCAAATGCCATGTGATTGGTTGATTAGATAATTGCATTAAAGAGAAATTGAACAGGTGTTCCTAATAATCCTTTAGGTGAGTGTATATCCTTTTGAATGACGAATATAGACTATTGGTCCCTGCTGATATAGACAGTTAATTCCTTACACGCAGGCGCAGAACGCACATGCTAGTTTGCAGTCGGCTGTAGTCTGTGCTGTGTTCAAGCGCAGCTTTTTGGTCCAAATGCAACCGACGTGAGGCGACAACAACGTCGGTTTCCATGGCCGCTGGTTCTTTTAAGTCGGCTTTGTGTGTCCCAGGTTTTAAGGATTTTTGTGCCTATTTTAATTCAAACAGCGACTTTTTTGGGGGGGGGGGGGGGCTGTGTATAATAATGAAAAACTGTTTAAGAATGGCATTTTGAACAGTCTCTTTTTATGACCTGCGTAGCTGCGTCCTGTGCTCATGCAGGTGGGCAGTAGTGTCCATTTATCAGTGTTTGGATTGTAGAACTCCACTGAAGCCAGGTTGCACGAACCATCATCACCACCAATCACATACAGCAGGTTATTCACGGCACACACACCTAGAACACACAAAACGATTGAAACATACTGTTAATCCAAAAACATCACAGCTAGAAATGTTTTTGTTTTAGCTGGCACAGTGATGCATGTTCAGGGTATATACAGCAATCCTTAAGTTAAATTTACTACTTTTTAATACCTTTTTTACTACCTTCAGAATTTTTTAAAAAAACCATCACGACACTGAATTGCAAGTGTTAATCAGCGACCTTTCTATTATTTACACAGATTTTGACATATATAACATACAAAAAAGAATAGATTTAGAGACTGATGTCAGTATTACTAATATTATAGCTACTGATGTCTCGATGAAAATGATTTCCCCCCAAATTTTAAACATTTATTAGGCTTCAAAAAATATAAAAACTTATAATTTAAGTGAACTTAAAACAATCCTCTCTTAAACCCATAATACATGTCATATTTACCTATGCCATACAGAAATTGAATATGGTCATAAAACAGTCCGCACTGCATAAATTATAAATGAAATATAGATTAATCCTTATCAAAGCTACAAGCGTTCTTTAGTCAAGAGCAGTGAGTAATTTTCTCTGTTCTTTAGGTTAACTTTACCAAAGTCCTTTTAGGCAAGTCATGCCACTCGGCCGCCATCTTGGCAATGCCTCCGGGCAGCTATTTCAGACTAACAAGACCAGGCTCCTATCTAAATGAATGGGCAGAGACCCAGAACTGCACTTTCACTGGTCACCGGGACATAAAAACTGCATGTATACAAACACTAATAAAATATGATAAAAATCGCTGAAAAAGTGTGATGACTTTGACCCAAAATAAGGTTTAAAACGCCTTTTTCCCCACAGGTTATACTTTTACTGCGCATGCGCAAGGGTTCTCTCGCTCTCTGTCGTGCGCGCGCTACTGCTCGCTCTAGATTCCGGGAGATTTGAACTAATTTGCAGTCATCAGGGAGCCGCTATCAATCTGCGGGAGACTCCCGGAACTTCCGGGAGACTTGGGATGTCTGATATTTACACAACTAACACATCAAATCTGCTGCCTTTTCAAACAGTAACATATTTTCCCCTGTCGCAAACCTCAACTGTGCGCATGCGTCGGTGGAACCAGACGATAGGCTTAAATGTTTTCCGGCTTGACTGTTAAAAGCAGACGATTGGCTTTCCAGCGGGAGGGGCGTGGCATGTGCATACAACCGCCATCTTTGGCGTTACGGGTTTTCCCTATATAGTTGTATTAAGGATTGGGGAAGTGGCATGTCTCTATATAAATAGTCTCTGACTTTACTGACAGACAGAATTAATGGCTCCTGTCACTTTAAGATCTGCCGCTGCTGACAGGATCTCACGCATCACATTCTCACTACTATTTACTTCCATTTAAGATTTTATTTAACTCATTTAGCACGGTTCTTGTGAGGATACTCGACAAAACGGACATTTTGGCTTAAATGTGTGTGTGTTATTGTTCGTTCAAGCGCGAAAGAGAACTCGATACTGGCGCGCGTCTTTCTGTGCATCGTGTGTCAGGAGGAAATTCACTGACAGCGCGTATTGTCATTGTCGCGCATTAAAGCATTTGCGTGAATAAGAGCATGATCATAATCCTAGCTAAAGGATGACAGAAAGAACGGATGCATTGCTGCATTAATTGCAAAGCTGGACAAAAATGAATCGCATGAGTTAAAGGTAGGGTAGGTCGTTTTTGGTCTAAAAAACTTTTTCCCAAATTTGTTTAAACTTTCTATATATATCAATGCATAATTAAAATGTAAGTACTCTGATAAAAAGAGTATAAAAATCGAGTGACTCTAGACCGTTTAATCTGCACTAAACACAGCTCATTATTTCCTTCCGGGACGAAACAATGGATTGCCTTAGGTGACTGTCACTCTCTCGCAACCATGGCAACACCCCCCGCCAGGGGCGGACTGGCCATCTGTGTGATCTGGAGTATCACAGAACGGCCGGTACTTCAGGACGGCCGGCGGGCCGGCCCACCACCCGCCACACACGCAGTCATCACCTGTTTTTTTCCCCCCACTAATCTGTTTCACACTCCAGTACTGTAGGTGGCAGCAATGCACCTTTAAGTTGGATGCCAGCGCGGAGCATTATCAGCTCGGCCCAAAAAAACTGCGATCGCGGCCGAAGCAGCTGTGCGGACTGATCTCGATCAAGCAAACATTATTACACAGAGTTGCGCGATCCACTGAGAAGCATTTCAATTCAGTGCAGAATTCTCTATCTCTATTATAAACCCACAGATGGCTGTGATTTAAGCTAGTTAAAAGCCAGATTAAACAGAGCTGATATTCTCAACATCTTGACGCAAAAAAACAGGTGAAACATTGTTCCAAGAACAAACCAGTTAGAAGACATTTCACTCCACAACTTATGAATTAACTGTAACTTAGTAAAACAATTTTTTTTGGCAGAAATGTGCCTGTATTCATATTAAAAATGCTGTTATATTAATAGTCATGTAGGCCTATAAATGTAGGCTATTAAATGTAATGCAGTAATGTTTTTGTTTAGAAGTTATGGCAGTTTATTTATTTATTTTGCATTAAATATTTATACTAAATGTTTATGCTACAGTAGGTTTTTAGAGAATAATATATATATATATTACAATTTTTTCAGGAATTGTTGAACCAGAATATCAAGATATTTTATTATTTCGCATATGATGGTGAAAAGTAAAAAAGTTAAAGTTAAAAGTAAAGGTAAAGGTAAGGTAAAAAAAACACCACCATGTTATATGTATAATAAATATTTTTGAGTATAGCCCTTATAGATTATTTTATCCCTTTAGCCCTCGCACACAAAAAGGTTGGAGACCCCTGGTATATAGTAACGATATGTTTTATAATTACAAGTTTGTGTAATTAGGGTTTCTGTATTTTATTTTCAGTGCAGATGTAATGGCATTGTACATTTTGTTGTTTTTATTTGAAGACTGAGGCTTCATTAATAAACAAAACCCCAATTGTCATCATTGTTTTTGAGATATTACTTGCTGTGAATACCTTGTCTGATATAGGTCACAGTATTGTGGCATAGTATCAGGACATCCTAGTGGCTAGGGGGGAATGGCTGGATGATGGGCCTATTTGGGAGAAAGTCCAGGGCTGTTTTTTAGCCCCAGTCCGTCACTGCCCCCCGCTGCTACACGCGCTGCCCACATGCGCGCACTCGTTTGACTCGAGGAGGGTAAGAGACTAGTAAGAGACACAATTACATGCAAAACACGGCGTATATATAATGAATCTTGCACGAAATTCACCTTCATCACAGTGTAACTGATTGTAATGGGAAAACGTGTATCAATGCAACCTGTTTTTAGCTTTGCTTTATGTTACTAGCTCGTTAACGAATCAAACTCAATATATTTTAAACTTTACCAGTATCGATATGCTAGCTTGATAGTGAGTACTAACAGCCATGTTAGTTGTTTATATTCATAATGATAAAGTTAGGTATTTTATTACATGTGACGTGAGTCTGACATGATGTCACTACATGCACTGCTGCTCCTCTCCGCTCGGCGCTGGTAAGCGCGTCCTCCAGCTGTGAGCTGTCGGCATCGCGCGTTCATGTGTTTTGGGGGCGTGGTTTTGGAAGGAGCCCAGAATGGAGGGGGTGGAAGTGAATGGAGATAAGTAGCTGTGTTTATTACAGCCCTGAGAGGACTACAGACACTCGATTTTTATACTCTCTTTTCCAGAGTACTTACATTTTAATTATGCATTGATATATATAGAAAGTTTAAACAAATTTGGCAAAAAGTTTTAAAAAAAAATCCTACCTACAATACCTTTAACGTTGCTGTCAGCACTTATCATACATTGCTGACAGAAAATATTGCGGTTTGAAGTGGACTCGTTTTCATGGTAACGTAGGCCTAACGTTACACCGAATGTTTTTTTAGTAGCTAACGTTACACAGTAATGTTCTACATTAAATATTTAGCTAACAGTCTGAAATTATCCTGACCTGAGCTAATTTCCTGAATCAACCAACTCACATCTCCTTTCTTTTTTTTCATCCATGATGACATTCGTCACCTGTTGTTGTTTCTGGCGTTTCATCACTGACTGTGTCGCAATCGATTTTTTATGGTCGCAACCGCTATCCTTGCGCATTAGAACTTTCAGTGAGCTATTTTACACAGGCTCGGTCCTGCTCCTCCGTGGCAATGACGGCGTGCGGTTAAAAATCATAACAAACGAATTTGAAAGTGTCCCCCTTGTCCGCATAGGAAATTACGCCCGTGGGTAGGACATCATCCCCAGGCTTCATGAACTTGCGCTCCATGCTTTCACCGACGACGCTAATGTGACGTATGGATCTCTCACACTGTGTTGCCAGGACCCGCCCTGCTCTGCTTCTGATAGGCTTGTAACGTTAGTTAGAGCTGCGTTCCTCTCATATGATTGGTAGGTGAAATCAATTGACTCGAAAATATTAAAACGCATGCAAGTTCCCCTTTTTCTTTTTGTCCTCACGGCCGAACGCCGGAGATCCGGCACGGTGCCCTGGACACCTGATAGTCTGAAAAAATAATACCTAACTTGGAAAAAATAATACCTCTGAGACAACATTTAACACTTTTAATGGCCTTAAATTTGACAATTTTGATTTATCACTTTTTAATACTTTTTAAAACCCCGCGGACACCCTGATGTTGTGCTGTTCAGCAAGTATGTAGTATTTGACCAACTCACCTGCGTTCCTGCGGCACATGTTCATATCAGCCACCTGTTTCCATGTGTTAGTGGTGGGGTCATACATCTCACAGCTCTTTCTGACCAAGGGGCCGTCGTGCCCTCCTACTGCATACAGCAGACCTTTTAACACACCTACACCTGTCCAACAAAAACATTCCTGGTTTACACAGATACACGTTGATTGCCAGCATTTGTGAAGATATGCGTGGGAGCGTGTTTGGGTGTTACCTGCACCACTACGACGGGTTCCCATCTCTGCTCTGTAAGACCATTCATTGGTGTTGGGGTTATAGGCCTCAACAGTACTCAAACACTGACGTGTTGCTCCGTCATACCCTCCGACTGCATAAAGCAAACCTAAAAAGAGACAGTTTGAAATCATTTTCATCAGTTCAAATCAACTGTTCGATATTAAACACACTTTTTGAGACATGTGTGACATAAATATGTGTTGCACAAAAACACAACATCAAGCATTTCAAGTTTAGCGAAATGTTTCATTATCAATCCCAAATTAAAATGTATTATGCAAAATGATATGTATTAAATAAAACATTAGTAATGTAATACATTATTATGTTTTTGAAAGTGTCTAAAGCATTTATTTGATCAAAAATACAGTGAAACGGTAATATTGTGAAATCTTATTATTTAAAATAACTTTTTTATTTCAATATATTTTAAAATGAAATTTATTCCTGTGATGGCAAAGCTGAATTTTCAGCAGCCATTAGTCCAGTCTTCAGTGTCACATGATCCTCTTCAGTGTCACATGATCCTTCCGTTGCGCTGCTTAATGTTTTTGTGGAAACCGTGATTTCTTTTTTCAGGATACTTCGATGAATATAAAGTTTAAAAGAACTTTTTTATATATATATATATAATTAATTTGAAATATAATTTTTTGCAATTAAGTAAAAGATTTTTCTGTCACTTTTTATCAATTTTTTAAACGAGTATTTAAAAAAAATCTTACTGACTCAAAGCTGTTGGTAGTGTAAATGATTCTGAACATTATTAATGATTATTATTATTATTAATTAATTTATTATATCATTATTATTTTATTGGCATTACAATGTAAGCACAAAGCAGCATCAAAACAAAATGTGAAAATACATTAATATGGTAATATACTTGTAATTCCATGTCAGACAAATTTGGATACAGTTTGTACAATATGTAATGTGTCCCTAGTTTCAAAAGGTTCAAGACCCCTGGTTTAGGCCCTTTTCTTAACCTCCAAATGCCAAACAAAACAGCAATGTACATCTAATATACAGATAACTAACGTCACTAACCTCCAACAACGCCGACTCCAACACTGCTTCGCCGCGTGTTCATGGGATTGACGTGGAACCACTCATTGGCCTTAGCGTTATACGCCTCTACAGTAGCTAAACCTGCAAAGCAACATTTTCATCATCGATATGGTCACAGATGTAGGAACACAGTTCATGTTCATCATCCCAATCATGGCCGTACCCACCTTTGAGGTCCAGACCTCTGTACTTTTTCTGAGGTGTATCAAAAGTTGTGAACTAATTTACTAATAATAACTGCACTATACCTAATAATAATTTGATGCTGCAAAGATATTGGCCAACACCTAGATAACTGACTTTAAACTGACTCACATCTGTGTTGATAAATTAGCAGTGTAACAGTGCTCAATGTAAAGACGACTGAGATGGCAAATCAAATAAAAAAAGGTGGGCCTTATTATTACTTTTTCACAGAAGCCGAGCGGTCAGAAAGTGAGATGTACGGTAAGTAGCTAATATATCTGATTATTACAGTGTATTTAACTGTTACGATAAAAAAGTTAAATGAACGATTGTGATATACAGTAATGGAAGCAACACAACCAGAGCTGCTTTCAGCACAGGCAATAAGATTATGAATGAATGTTTGCATATTGTGAATTCATTTTATGTATTTTGTTAGACTTTCCATAAAAAGGCTTGGATAGCCTTTCAGTAACTTCACTTATCTTTTCTTTACAGGTTGTGGTTAGACAGTCATTTAGCAAAAAAAAAGAAAAAAAAAAAGGATTAATAATATTTGAAAATAGATGCATTATTTTTCAATAAATTCTATTTCTTTAACAATTCCTTTAATTTTCTCTTTTGACAAGAAATCCCCAATTGTCTGCAACCTTTGTATATTGATACTTCCACATTTAAAGGGATAGTTCACCTAAAATGACAATTCTGTTATTATTCAGTAATCATATACCCATTCAAACTTTTCATTCCAAACCCATGTTATTTTTCATGAACTTTTTCATGACCATGCGTGTACAGTTTTCACTGAGGGGGGTGCTAACTTCAATGTCCTGCATGTATTGCATTTTATTTATTTTATTTTCCATTTTACCGTAAAACTATATTTACAAGGTCACATTGTAAAGTGTGCACAGTTTAACAGTGCTTCAGATTAAGCACATGTTATCATCTTTATTATTACCTTATCAGCTCTTTGAATCAATAACGGTTTATTGAAACCTTCCGGCTGACAGTCCCAACTACTGGCCGGAAAAGATATTGAGGGCTTTAAAACTTCAGTGAGGTAAATGAACGCGATGTATCCAGCTGCAGAACCGCAGATCCAGCCGTTTTAGACCAGGAGCCCCAGGACAGAAGTGTCTTATTACTTAGTTCTGGCATGAAACTCTAGATGGCGCAGGCTGATAGGTCCTTAACTCATTTGGTCATCTACATGCAGCGCGCTTAAGAAACTCTCCATCTTCCCCAGCTCCACCTGTATAGATCTGCTACAGGGATTATATCATGTATGTTACATGTGCTGCAGCACCATGTCTTACATGCTCACCACAACATGTCTGTGAATGTTTTGGCTGAGGCAAGTCTCTGTACTTGCTCTGCAGCTGCAGCAGTGTAGCACAGTGTTTCCCAACCCTGTTCCTGGAGGCACACCAACACTACACATTTTCCAACTCTTCCTAATCGATCACACCTGAATCAACTCATCAGCTTGTTAGTAGAGACTCCAAGACCAGAAATATATGGGTCAGAAAAGGGAGACATCCAAAATGTGCACTGTTGGTGTGCCTCAAGGAGCAGGGTTGGGAAACACTGGTGTAGCAGATCTATTCCGCCAAGACCAAATACATTAACATTGCCAATATCCATTACCATGCCAAATCTGTCAGAGAGTTGTCATGACAGAAATAGAGTTATGAAATGAGTTCTGCTGCCTGTAAGATAAACGTTATTTTCTAATATTAAATATGAGCTATTTTCACATGGATTTTTATCGGATCAATATCTACAATATTTAACAAAATACTTAGATGATATGATGTAGCCTATAATGAGCAATATTAAAAAAAAAATCATAATAATGGATAATACAACACAATGTTTTGTTGTTAGTTCACACTGCATAAACTAATGAGAACAAATACTTTTTAATCGACTTTTCTCCAGTGTTGTGACGCATTTCCAAGTGAAACAGAATATTGAATAGAGGGTGGGGTTTTTACTTTAGCGCACCTCCTTACCATCCCTCGCTCATAGCAGACTGGCGGTTGGAGGGGAGTGGTTAAGGATATTCAACTCAAGCCATAAAACTATGTCATCAGAGAAGGAACGCCGTTCCAGAGCGGAAGCAAATTTCCAGATTTTGATTAAAGATTACCACGACAAACTTTTTTTTTCTGTGTATTAACTTGCACGGATTAATTGTTCTGCACATGTTGCACTTAAAGGTACAATATGTAAGAATTTTGTAATAAAATATCCAAAAATCACTTGCACAGTGTGATATATTTCCTGCAGTTGTGTACTTACAATATCCCAAAAGTCTCCAAAGATTTTTTATTTCAGAGAAATTCCAATTTTAAATAAGTGGCCGTCCCGGAAAAAAATGTCGCCTGTCAATGACGCAATATCCGCGCTATCCTCGGTTTCCGTTCATACTGCCATAGCCATGACGTAACCATGGCGACAGACGTGGACAACTGCGTAGTGCGTAACGTTTAGCGGCACGCAGTTCTTGTTTCTTTCAAACATAGACCATGGCAAGCAGACTTTGGGACAAACAAGGAGAACTAAAATGAGGATCAATATCAGCGTGGCCAAAGAGTATAGAGCTGGTAAGTCCCGCCCCTTCCGCTTACCCCGCTGGACCTCTAGGTTGAAAAATCGTCAATGCAAGTGAATGAGAGAAAATAATTATTTTCTAATCCCGTTTGAATTTTGCAATGAATGTGAACATATGTTGTCTGTGAATTTTTTATATAAATTTTCGTGTAAAGAATGCTACAATTTAGCGGGTAGAATTTTCATACGGTTAGACTTTGTGTGAGAGCACTTTGTTGAATACAACTCTTCGCTGCTTTCGACGCGTTTGATATACGTCACCACCACTAGCACACGGATCCCGCTAAACATGCCTTTGTTTGAATGGTGACATTTGGGTACAAAACACACAGGCATCTCGATCTAATTCCTTAGATTATCGCACCGTGATTTGTGGAGGGAAAATGTGTTATGCGGTGACGTCACATATGCGACGTGTAGTCTTTCTCGTTATGTCTATTCCACAACTGCTAGCCAAAGAATCATACAATATACTGTCAAACTCGTTACATGAGAAATTATATAAAAAATTCACAGACAACATTTGTTCACATTCATAGCACAATTCAAACGGGATCAGAAAATAATTATTTTCTCTCATTCACTTGCATTGACGCTTTTTCAACCTAGAGGTCCACTTGGAGTTTTACGGATGGGCGGGACTTACCAGCTCTATAGAAGAACAATACACTATATGATATATTACACTATACACTATAGTCAATATACGTTCTTTGGCGTGACGTTTTTGAGATGCCGAGAGCTCCACGTCCACGACTAACTTGGACTTGACAGAGCTTCACTAGTCAAGACTTGACAGCTTTATTAGACAGGTGAGCAAATGTACATAAAACAAATCAATGTTATATAACGTTAGCTCAACATGATGAAATGTTAGAATATGGTCAGTATGTTATTCTAATGTTGATCTAGCTTACTGCTAGTTTCGTATAGCAAACGAACTAACCCGTAGTATAACATTATAACTTTCAACACACATTTAAATGCCGTTTAGTGTGATAGTGTAACGTTAGACCAAGTGAAGCAGCGCTGCGTTACCTCACAAGTTTAATTAGTCTAATAAACTGACCTGTGTGAGTAATCCAGCACTTGCGGGTAGTTCGGTAGAATTAAATGTCCTTATTCCTTTATATCCGCGGGATTCGCGAGTGTGATATCTGTCTCTTTAGCAATCGTGACCTGCTTCATACTACTGTAATGTTAAAAAACATGAATTTTTGCACTCATCCATAAACATTAGATCCATCAGCTTGACAGCAAGTCCCATCATTCAGCTCATCACTGCGTCATCAACCTACGCCTTTGTTATTGTTGGAAACTGCGCCCTTTTGTGGTGAAAAAAAACCTACATATTGTGCCTTTAACCATATTTTCCTTTTTGAAGTGATTCCAATCATAATTTAACCAATTCAAAACCATCATGGCGAACAGTGTGCATCTAAAGTGTCTCAGGAAATAATCCACAATTTATCGGCTTTAATATATTGGCCAACTTTTCTTATTGCCGATAACAATAACATAAAAAATTAACATATATCGTCCGATACAGATACGGTGACCGATATATCGTGCATCCCTACTCATAAGTTTTTTCTTTTTTTGCATTTTTCATTAATCATATTAATTTCGTAATGAAATCATAAAAAATTGTCAAATGGGAAATTATACATTTATTAATATATATTTTTAAATAAAAAAGTTGTATAGTTGCATATCGTTGAACTAACAATGAAATATTGTGTTCGAATCCATTAACTTTAAACATGATTAATAGGCATTAGGCAATTTTTAAAACAGTTCTCAATGTACAAAGTGACTTTATTTAAAATTATTGTTGTGAAATATTAAAATCCATGTGAAAATAGCTCATATCTATTAAAAGGAAATTATGTGCATAAGCTCCACCCCTCACTTCTGTTCTGTGGCTGCCGGTCTGAAACTGCTGGCACTGTGGTTCTGCAGCGGAATACTATTAAAATGAACAGACGTGTTTGTGCTTGCGAGCAAAATGGAAAAGAGTGGGGTGTCGAGACATATTTTTAAACGTTTTAAAATAACATTTATCTTGACATGACGTTTGCGCGAGAAACAAACAAAAAAAAAGCAGATGAGCCGCGCAAAGGTCAAAGATGAAATGTTTAACGCATTTACATCAAAAACAACATTTTCTCTTGTTCATCACCACTAGGCTAGGGCAAACAAAGTGCAATAATTTATATTAAAATCTATATTATTTGACATTTATAACGTGAGTGAATCTTCAAAAAGATCAGGGGCTTTCGACAATAATCAGGAGCTTAAGCCACCAAGGTAGCTACTCACCAATAGCAGATTACAAGAGGACAATACGTCTGTTGTTATCTTCTGAGCCATTCTGAGACGTGTCTGAAGTCCGCGGTCTTTTGCTTCATATTTAATAGCGCTCCATTATGATCGCTGTTGATGAAGAGCTTAATATGATCCCTATTCGCTAATGCGCGCCGTACCTGAGCGTGGCTTAATTGACTCCTACCCCCATCAAGACCATTGTTTATACATATAAGCACCCTAAACATTTATTAATTTAGGTTTTTAATGTGCCGGCGCTATACAAATTTCTGGCGGGGCCATAGCCCCGTCAAGCCCCGCCCTAGCGCCGCCACTGGAAAAGACATGGTTTTTGTGTTAAAGCTGTTGTTTTCCAATTTTTGCCCTCCAGATATCTTAAAATGCACATATACAATAGACCTCAGTATTTCTAAAACCCTGCTCTTATGATCCCAATTATTATTAGTATCTTCATAGTAATAATAAGCATTGCTACCATAACTAGAATAACAGTTATGCACTTCTCCGCCATACACAAATGCAGCTGCAACATAGTAAAAGCATTTTTGATGCAAGATGAATATATTGCATGTGTTACCTGTGCTGCCATCAAAGCCCCCTACAGCATACAGCAGTCCGTTGAGGATAGCGGACCCTAGTGTTGACCTCCGGTCCTGCATACTGCTGACACAACACCACTCATCTTTTACTGGGTCGTACGCGTCCACCGTCCTCACACGCAATGACCCGTTGAAACCCCCGACAGCATACACAACTCCGCCCACGTACACCACACCTATAAATAAATTAAAAAAAAAATTTTTTGTGAATATACACTCCTGGACAAAATCTTAAGACCGGGGGAAACATTACCAGTATTCGCATTTCGCGCAGGTGGATCGTTAACGGGTTGTAAGTACTGCATCAAAATGCCAAAAGAAGAAACAGGAGCAAGAGACAAAAAATTAGGGATGGCCCGATACCGATACTGGCATCGGGGATCGGGCCGATACTGTCCTAATATACTCGTACTCGTACTCATAAAAATTCGCCGATACCACGCACCGATACCACGTACATTTTGCAAAACGAAACTGGCCGCCGCGAGTGCTTTGTCGAGGTGAACTGAGGCATAGGAAAGTATAATGTCGGCGGTTTGGGCTCATTTCAAGATAAGGGATGATGACAACAGCAAGGCAGACTGTGAGTTATGTTCAGCTAAGGTCTCGAGAGGAGGGAAAGAAAGTACATCGTTTAACACCAGCAATCTAAACATCTGAAGACGCATCATAGATCTGATGGCCGAGCGCGCGCGCGGGTGGTAATGCACTCACTCTGTGTGTGCGGGTTACGGGAGAATAAAACGATTCGCGGGACTCCCGCAAACTAGAAATATCTATGAATAAAACATAAAAACTAAAAGATTTTTATTCATCTCTTGCAGAAAAGCAACAAGAACAACTACAACAAAATAGAAACGATTTACAGGACAGAGTTTCTATTCATAACATGGTTACAGCGTTGAGCGATGTAGCCAATCACAGACATATGTGTTGATTTCTGGAACGCAATGGCCAATCAGAAGCATTTAAGATAGACTCCCCTCACCGCTCAAAACGGACTTTTTTGTTCAGTGCTGAATTCTGTATGCTGGCAAATCCTCTAATTATAACAAACAAAGTGTGGATATTATGAAAGATTGATTGTGCAGTCAGCTTCATTAATAATAAATGAGATGTGTGAGATCGTGATGAACTGTCAGCTTTTAGGATTTATTAAGGGAGCGCACTTTGCGCGCATTCAGTCATGCCAGACCATGCACGCAGTAGCCTGCTTGCTTTTATGTTAAATTAACAGTGGTTTGTGTGTTAATACATTTATTATTTTACTAATTTTTATTTATTTTTAGACTTGTTAAAACAAGCAGAGAAGAAAATAAAAACAGTCTTCTAACCTGTGTTCTAAAATAGTCGTCTTCTTTTCTGGGAGCCTATTACTTTTGCGGTAGAAATATCGGTATCGGTACTCGGTATCGGCAAGTACACAAATGTAAATACTCGTACTCGTATCGGTTTGAAAAAAAATGGTATCGGGCCATCCCTACAAAAAATATAGAGTAGGCAATTTATTGAAAACTGCATTTAAACCAAAACAGGCTGTTCATCAGCTGATCAAAAGTTTAAGACCATAGCCTTAAAAAGGTCAAATCTGCACAAAAATATGGCTTTCATGTCATTGTCCTTCAGGCAGTCACACTGTCATGATCTCCTGATGGCAAACGTAAAAAGGCTTTCTCTCTTTGAACGTGGCAGGATTGTTGACCTGCACAAGCAAGGCCTCTCGCAACGCGCCATTGCTGCCGAGGTTGGACTCAGTAAGACAGTCATTTTACATTTCTTAAAAGATCCTGAGAGTTATGGGACAAAGAAGTCAAGTGCTAGACCCCAAAAAATGTCATCTGCACTGAGCCTTGTTCACGGTTGTCCGTGAAGACACAGGTCGATCCTCAACCCAAATTAACGCCCTTACTGATGCTGACTGCAGCCCAATAACCATAAGACGTCATCTGTGAGAGAAGAACAAAAAATGTCTTCAAAGGCCACATCTCCTCACACGCCACAAACTTGCCCATATGGAATTTGCAAGGGAGCACCAAACATGGGACATTGAAAGGTGGAAGAAAGTTTTATTTTCTGATGAGAAAAAAATTTAACCTGGACAGTCCTGATGGCTTCCAACGTTACTGGCAACGTTACGATCCCACCGTAGATGTTTTCTACACGGCACAGTGGAGGAGGCTCCATCATGATCTGGGGTGCTTTATCCTTCAATGGGAAAATGGAGCTTCAGGTTGTGTAGGGGCGTCAAACGGCGGCTGGCTCTGGACATGCTGCAGTGGGCATCCCTCTTGACTGAGGGCCCTCATCTGTGCAGTAATGACTGGGTCTTTCAACAGGACAACGCTGCAGTTCACAATGCCTGCCTGACGAAGGACTTCTTCCAGGAGAATAACGTCGCTCTTTTGGACCATCCTGCGTGTTCCCCTGATCTAAATCCCATTGAGAACCTTTGGAGATGGATGGCAAGGGAAGTTTACAAAAACGGACGACAGTTCCAGACCGTGGATGCCCTTCGTGAAGCCATCTTCACCACATGGAGCAACGTTCCTGGAAACAGTCCCATCAAGCATGCTGAAGCGAGTGTTTGAGTGATCACCAAGAACGGTGGGGCTACTCACTACTGAGTCCTTTTTTGACACTTTTAGTTCTGTTGTAGGATTTTTTTGGGCTATGGTCTTAAACTTTTGATCAGCTGATGAACAGCCTGTTTGAGATTAAATACAGTTTTCAATAAATTGCCTTCTCTCTATTTTTTGTCTCTTGCTCCTGTTTCTTCTTTTGGCATTTTGAAGCAGTACTTACAACCCGGTAACGATCCACCAGCGTGAAATGCAAATACTGGTAATGTTTTCCCTGGTCTTAAGATTTCGTTCAGGAGTGTATATAACAGTTGGTGAGTGAAGATTTTTATTGTTATACAAGACACTGGTTCATTAAATTATTTTGTATTCCATAATTTGTTTTACATTCTGTTGAAAAGCCATAATAGGCTGTTGAATGGCAGGTTTCATTGTGACAACTTATCCCATATAGTCTCACAATATACCGCTACTGGGTTACACTACCATTCAAAAGTTTTTGGTTGGAAATATTTTTTTTAATCCTTTTGAAGGCTGCATTTATTTGACCAAAAATAGAGTAAAAACAGTAATATTGTGAAATATTATTACAATTTAAAATGTAGAATTTCTGTGTTAATATATCTAAAAATGTCATTTATTTTTTTGATGGCAAAGATGTTTTTTAGCAGCGATTACTCCAGTCTTCACTGTCACATTATAATTCAGAAATCATTCTAATAGGCTGATTTGGAGATTAAGAAACATTTCTTATTATTACCAATGTTGAAAAACAGTTGCTGTTTAATATTTTTGTGGAAACTGATTTTTTTTTCCAGGATTCTTTGATGAACAGAAAATTTGAAGAACAGCATTTATTTGAAATAGAAAAAACTTTAGTGACATTATAAATGTCTCTACAGTCACTTTTGATCAATTTAATGCATCCTTGCTGTATTATTAGGCAGCTATTAAAAAAGAATGTTAACACCAAACTTTTGAATGGTAGTTTGTGTTGTCACAGAATGTTAGTGTATTTTTTTTCTGGGAAAATAATGGTAGAAATGTTCTAATGTTTTATTATGTTAATGTTCTAGTGCCTATACATACATTTGAGCCCAATAGTTTTTTACCCTCTCAGTTCATGTTTTCTGTGTAAATACATTTATGCCGCATAAAAAGGAACTTTTTGTGGAATATATGCCACCTAAAATGGGCCTCAAGTCAGTAAATCTACACTTGAAATTTCATTTTTCACCCACATTAAGTGTCCAAAACGTCAATGATCTTGCCATCACTTACAAATACAGTAACTAAACATCATTTTCATAACCAGAGTCATTTCAACAGCACCACATTTTTAGCAATGTCCATGTCATGACAGATTCCCCAGCAAATTGCATTTTACTCACCCAAGAGTATGGGTGTGGGTATGGGTATCTCATTATTTTCAGTACATACAGTTAATTACCTTTAGAACCGAAGCAATTACAGTAAGCAACACAACGGTCAAGTCAGTACTGGGGATGCAATGAAGTTTTAAAAAGGACAGCTGTTGAATGTGAGACCAGGGTGAGTCATTTTTGTGCCTGCACAGTCATTGTCAATGATAAGAGCGTGGCTGCTCACCTGCTCGACATCGTCTGGAGGGTAATTCTGCCACTTGAAACCATCTCTCCTCCTCAAAATCATAGCACTCCACACTGCGGATGGCTTTAGGGGCCTGTCCCCCGACTACAACCATCACCTTTAACACACATGTGAGAAAAGAATCAGATCCCTTAACTTTCTGTTCTCAACTTTTTTGTTTATCCAGTTTAAATGATCTTATATCTGTGTATAAAAGTTATTTTAGAATAAATTCTTACAAAACAAATTCTTTGCATTCACGATTGTTTAAAGGTTTTTAAATGATAAGATTTTCAATAAAAGTTGAAATATAATGCCTTTAAAAACATCGTGTAGTGTTAACCATCAAGTAAGTAAGGGATAATGTACGTCCAGCCGGTTGTTATCGCAGAATAACCCCGACAGGATGATCAGGACCCTGAAGCGGAGGGGTCTTGCATCAGCCTGAAGGGGTTTATTCTGAGATAACAACCGGCTGGATGTACATTTTCCTGCTAATTACACAGCTACTTGCCACATAAGTAAATAATTAGACATGAAATATTGATCTAAGATTAAAAAAATTATTAGCTCTTTAAACACAAAGTTCCGCGGAGAAAGCAGTTGCTAGCAATCGGCAAGTTCAAACTAGATGGACATTTAAAGGAGAACTCCGGCGCAAAATGAACCTTTGGTCTAATAAAACATTGGTACCTAGTCAACCGTTCTCTGAGATTTGTTTTCATGATAATCGAATGTAAAGAGTTTTATCTCTAAAAACTGTTTAGCGTATAACGCTAGTAATGGGGGCATTTAATAAGTAAAAAGAAATCGCTAGTTAATACCACTAACAAGGCTCAAAATAGCCCCACACTAACACAGTAACATAATGAGGGTCCCTACATGCAAAACGAAGCATTGAGAACTTTGTAAGTGTACAGACCGTTTAATAAGAAGATATTTTATAAAGACAGTCCACTTTGTGTATACAGACAGGAGCCATCTTTGGAAAACAGTCTCGACTAGTCAAACCACGAACGCCATTCATACAGTTCAGAAGTTCACTGAACTTCATACAGTTCAGCTCACTTAGCACGTCGTTCGTGGTTTGACTAGTCGAGACTGTTTTCCAAAGATGGCTCCTGTCTGTATACACAAAGTGGACTGTCTTTATAAAATATCTTCTTATTAAACGGTCTGTACACTTACAAAGTTCTCAATGCTTCGTTTTGCATGTAGGGACCCTCATTATTTTACTGTGTTAGTGTGGGGCTATTTTGAGCCTTGTTAGTGGTATTAACTAGCGATTTCTTTTTACTTATTAAATGCCCCCATTACTAGCGTTATACGCTAAACAGTTTTTAGAAATAAAACTCTTTACATTCGATTATCATGAAAACAAATCTCAGAGAACGGTTGACTAGGTACCAATGTTTTATTAGACCAAAGGTTCATTTTGCGCCGGAGTTCTCCTTTAAGGGATACGGTACAATCATACCACTTATCACACAGCATTTCGTCACATAAATAATTACAGGGATAGGAGATATTGATCTGAGATGTTTTAAAATCGTACCTGTTTGTTATCTTATAGTAACAGTGTAAGCGTTATACTTGCAAGCGTATATCGCTGCTGACTTCAGTAACCCGGATGAGCCAGTGTTATCTGTTTTTAGCGGTATGTTATTCCCTGATAACAACCGCTAAAAAAACATCTGACAGTAAAATAAAAATATGATTTTTTTGTAAACTTGAATCTAAAGTTCAGGTACAGGTTTAATTGTCCACATGACAGTAAAATTAGAATGTATGAGGACTCTGCAAATCCATTCAAATAATTGTGATTAAAGCATGCTTAGTTCTTATCTACTGTTACATAATATAACTATCTTAATGTGGTTGGTCTCTATTATTATCGAAGGCCATATGCTTAATATGTAGCTCTGTTTGACGCATTTTGTATTGGCGGTCCCTGCTTCATGTCTCTATCGCCTAAAGGGCCCTTGCCATGAAAAACGTTGAAGACCCCTGTTCTAAGAAGCTAAGACCGACGTGTGACAAGAGTTTAAATACAGCTTGCAGTATGTGCAGATCATGTTCCCCCCTCTTCATCCAATATCTTCCTGCTCTTTACAGCTAATATCAATGAAAATGTACAAAATGACCATAATCAAGACTGTCCTAACAAACCTTTGGGTAGCTGATGGGTGTTCTCACTCTGGTCCGGATGGTCTTCATCATGGAGCGCTGCTCGGCAGGCAGAAGGTGGTACTTCATAGCTTCAATAAGGTAGTCTTTACATGTGCTGCTGTTCTTTACTAGAGTTTCCTCTTCCACCCTCTACACACACACACAAAATTACACTAAAGAATATCAAACCACACATTTACTAATGCGTTTGCACACACACACACACACACACACCTGTACGAGGTATTCTCTGGAAAGAAGGGGCAAGCGAACATGTTCCATCAGATGAGACATGTGTTCCTGACGCACATCTTTATCATGCGTGACCCACGCTATGACCGCTTCAAACACCTATAAACACACAAGGAACGTTGATACCAGTTTATATTCGTCTCAAGTGATTCAATCACAAATGGTCAGCACAAATTCCAAAACATTTTGAGATCCTATCAATGCAATCACATATGCAGATATGCATTGTGATCACATCACATTTGAAAAGTGAACACTAATCGTTCAAAATGTTAAAGTTCAAATGTTTGGTTTTTTTTTAAATCTAGCTTAAAACATGTGCCAAGTTCTTAGAAACATTTTCTTTGTATTCCTGTTTGTTTTAATGTGTTTTTAAACTAACATTTTCAATAAAGTTGAGATAAAATGACTTTTAAAAATGTGAAATGGTGTAACCCTGAAGTAAAAAGTAATAACACATTTCCTTACACCTTTAATGTATGTGAGTGCACACATCTTAATTATAACAAATTCATACATTTTATTTTGGGGAGCAGTGTTATTTTAGTATTATTTATATGTTATTATAGTTTTTTTATATTTTGAGTTAATTTTCCCTTTTCATTTGCTTTTTTCAGGTGCTTGTCATTTTTAATATTACTATTTATGTCAAATTTATTTTTATTTCACTTTTAATTTCAGTTTGAGTTCAGTTTTAGTTTTTATTTATTGTCAGTTAGTAATTTTATTGTTTTAACTTGGCAACATTTCTAATATTCACTTAGTTGTTCCATCTAATATTTGTATTAGATAGATTGTATTAGGTATTTTATTTTATTTCATATTTATTTAAATAAAAATAAAAAAATAAAAAACATTGTTGTAGTTTTAGGCTTAGTTAATAATAATAACCCTGTTGGGGAGTCACATCATATGATATTTTATAACCTGAACTAATCTTGCTTTGTGACAAGAAGGTTATTTATCAAACAATCTAATATTTTAAAGGGCACCTATTATGCAAAATTCACTTTTACATGGCGTTTGAACATAAATGTGTGTTGGCATTGAGTGTACTCAACCACCCTATAATGATAAAAATCCACCCAGTGCTTTTTTTTAATCCCCATAAATCATAAGCACTGTCTCAGAACAAGCCGTTTTCAGACTCGGGGCAATGTGACGTACTTTTGCACAAGCCCCGCCCACAACTGTTGATTGACACTGCTGTATTGGCGTAGACCAGCCCTGAGTGAGCTAAACACAGTCCGCCATTGTTTCGACGCCGGAGCAGCTGTAGACAAGAATGTCTTCTAAAGTGATTGAGGTGTTTTGTTGTTGGATGTAAGAATGAACATAGCAGTCTTCATTTACTCCTGTTGTTACCTTGAGGATGGATCAGTAAGTTACCAACAGTTCGTGATCCAGCTTACAGTCTCCGGAGTGATAGGCCTTAAGTTACTTAAGTTACTGAACGTTAAGTTACTGATCACGGCAGAAAATGAAAGTGAGAGCGCGCACTTTATGACTGCTTATCAAGTCGTTTTACGGATATAAAGTTTACCAGTTTATTAAGCACCCACTAAAAAGGTGTGTATATCTTTGTTTACTGTTAGTTGTAACGAGTGTTTTGTGTAAGTTACTTCGCTGTGTATGTTGATGATGATAATGAAAGGGAGAGAGAGAGAGTTTACGGATAAAACTTTAATGCGCACTTCTTATACTGTGGTTATTCAGCTCTTACAGTGATTTTCTGGAGTAAAACTGACGCTTCATCTTTTGTGTGATGTACAATAAACTTCATTAAACTCGTCAGTATATTTTTGGCCATCATTCGGACGTGGTCCGCTACAGCAGGCTTGTACTAATAGTGGATAAAAGCAAGATGAAAAATAAGTTATAACCGTAATTAAACTAGACTATACCTGTTATATTTCTATACAGCGTATATTCTCTGGCTCTGCGGGTATTATTGTCCGACTCCGGGTCGAAATGAACACTGCTACTGAGAGTTTCTGTTTTGATATTATCAGATGAGATTGTCCTGGCTCTGAGCGTGATTTCGTGAGGCTCCGCCCTGTGTGCGGAGCAGCAGCTCATTTGCATTTAAAGGGATACACACTAAAACGGTGCGAGCAATACCTCAGCGATATCCTCCAGATCGAGGCAAAAGGGGTTACAGTATGCAGTGGAGGGATATATTCAAAATATAAAAATAAGCAATGAAGGAGACACGACTACTATCGAGGCGAATGCTTATACCGGTCTCAAGCGAAATCTGAGAAACCCCATGACCTGTACCTCAAATGCAACCAGCACAGCCTTGAAGAAGATTTTATCAGCTGGTTCAGTGGCTAATTGTTTGGAGTTAGAAATATATAACTCGCGCTGCATATTTAGTAATTTTGCCTCAGATACAAGATTATACATTCGCTTTAACAAGCAGGTTGTTCATTAACACGGCAACCGCTTGCGTGTCATGCTGAATGCGATTTTCGTGTTTAAAAAGTAACTATACATAAGAGACGGAAACATGCAGATAACCATATATTATTTAAGGTTATTTCTATTCGTTACGATATTGATATATGAACTGATGTAGTCAAGTAAGCTTCATGCTTTCCCCGTTGTGAACGTGCACTCCTCTAAACTGTAGCTACGGGTGCTGCACTGTCGACTGCTGCTAATTTCCCCCCGAGAATATCATGTTAACAACAACCCTTTAGAAAACGTAATTCCTTTGTGGATCCTCTTGATCTGCTTTCTCCATGTTTCTTTGACTAATCTCAGTGTCTCAGTCTCACGCACGCTGCTAACCATGTTCGACACATTTAACTGGGAGTGGGGCCGTCCACACTGTTTGATCCATTGTAGGCACCGCTCACGTTGTATTTTCGGCTTTGGAAACGGAAAAAACACAACTCCTCCAGACAATCTATCGGCTGTGGGCGCACCGCTTCACCATCTTGCTTGGAGTCAATGTTTGACGGACCTGCTCACATAGTAACGGTTGCTATGATGTGTGATTGGACAATGGCCGTTTTGGGGGAGGGGCCGGCAAAGGTCAATTGTATGTAAGTGTGAACTTGTGAAATGTTGTTTATATGTATTTAGCCCTATTCAGATGGGATTAACTTTACAAGGGTAGATGGAGTAATGTAATTTTACCACAGGACATCTGTAATATTAATGGCCAATTCGCACGGGATAAGATTTCTCAGTAAAACTAGCAGAAGTGGGAGGGGTAACTCGATTTGCGCAACGCCGTCACCCTCCTGTTGTCATGTGCGTATTACGTTGCTTCCTGATATCACGTGCACACACATACAACCTATATTATTTATATATATAAAACAGTTATGTCAGGTCGAATGATGCATTAATTAACTTCAGATTGGATTGTGTTGGTAATAGGCACTTACCTAACGCTAAAAGATGTTCCGTACCTCTAACAAGTGCTTTCAATCTTCTTTCTGATTTCTGATCTGAATGGTATGTGGAAAACACTTTGCCATAGACTTGTCCCAGTGTCTAGAACGCAACTGAGTGCTTTTTCAAGCGTCTCCATACTTGCGGAAAACTACTTTTAAACAGGAAATGACTAAATATTTACGTACATATTTACAGCAGGTCTATTTGCACGGGATTAGTATTACCTGAGGTAATTTTTCCGGACCTTTTTACTGAAGGTAAAAGTCGCCGTAATCTTTACTGACATTGTCCGTAATGATTACTGAGATGGCACATTCAGACGAGACTAAAATCACAGAGAAGCTCTGGTAATTATTACTTTACCCCACCTCTCCATGTTAAATTAGTCCCGTCCGAATAGGGTTCATGTGGTGTTTAATATGCTTTAAGACAAACAATGTGCAAAGTCATAAGTCAACACCATTGCTCAGTTTTGTCTCCTTAAAACTGCAGTGAACGAAAGACAGTCTCAAAACGCAGTGAAATTGCTGGTGTTTGCGATGTCACAAACTACCTTGTAACCAATCACGTCTGATCGTCAACGTGGATCTCTAAGTGAGTGGAGGCGGGGATAATTTGCATCATAGAAGTGCGTATACTAAATGAGGCAAGAGGCTAGAGTTACATTCAAGCTATTTTAAGGGATTAAGAATTTTTTTTCCTAGGATTTTTTTTTTTTTTAAATATGTTATTTGATCAAAGATGAGTTTTAAGGGATAAAATTATTGACTAAAGGGGAACTTTAAGAGATGTATTGACCCTGACACTGGCATTTGAGTCTGCAGGGCTTCTCTGTATGATATTATTTCCTATTATATGTTTATTTTCTGCGGAAATAAGTATGTGTTCAAATTTGAAAGTTTGTAGCCACTAAATTATACACGTTCTCCTCAAAATCTAATCACAGGAGAGATTTTAGAGATGTCAATGCCAGGTGTAAACAGCATTCTGTCATAGTTGACAACTTGTGATAGGATCACCAGAGATGAATGTAAATATCAGGTGGAAAAAAGCTATAATTAATAAAAAGGACTGTCTTAAGAAGCTGGTGCTGCCATGTTAAAAGAAAAAAAAAAAACAGCATGGTGCCCACGCCTTACATCTTCCAACTCTTGTTTCCATGACGACAAACAAGCTCTCACCCCCAGCAGCTACAGCTATTCCCATAGTGTTATTGTACCAGCAGCACGTTACCATGGCAACAGAGCTGCTAAAGTCTGCATGATAAAATCACCTGTGTGCTGCTATAGTTACAGATCATCAGCAGGAATACAAGTCTCTCATCAAACGTGACATTACCTTTTCTTCGGATGTAATGGTCAGTTTGTCGCTTGCTATGAGGCTGCAGACTTGCTCCATGCCCAGATTGAGAAACTCCTCACTCTGCACGACCTCTGAGAAGTGCTGCTCTGTGAGTGTCAGTGAGTGGGAGAGAGATTGAGACTATTAAACAGAGTTACTGACACTATTGTGACTATCGTGTACTTTTCTCTTGTATGGATGGACGGACACACACCTGCATACGTGTTGGCAAGATTGAGCAGTTCCGTGCAGGCGTGCAAATCGGCAAAGGCGCGGATACCGAGGCAGTTGGTTGGGTGAAGTTGAGTTATGAGAAACTCGCAGCAGGCCTTTTTAACTTCCTGCAACTGCAGCAGACCAGCGGCAGGCAAGAGCACCTAAAACACACATACATACACACACAGAAAATACCACACACATGACCTCAAAAATGCTTTAAGAATTTGATCTGCTGTATTTTTATTTGTCCTGGCAATAACTTTACTTGCACTGAGGTACAACAAGTGTTTTTACTTAAAGAGTTTTTATTTATTATTATTTTTTAATTGATTTATTTTTGTATGAAAAATATATTTACAAAAGAATTAAAATAATCAACAATCAATATCAAATCAATAAATACGTCACATTACATAAGAAAATAGGTTGCAAATGTCAAGAAACAACTCCTGCACACCTATGTTGGGTGTGTGAAATGGGCATCTTTGCATTGTGTCTCGCTGTTTTTAAGCATCTCACGCCATTAAAAGTAGGCCAAGCTGCAATTCATCTGACTGTTTTTAATGCAAGAATGTGTCCTGTATGTATACCCCTCACTCCTTTTCACCTCTATTTGCTCAAAAGAAGCTTTATGCATGTGCAAACTGAGCTGACAGGATAAATGCCAGCAGGGGTTAAAGTGGAAAAAATTCCTGATCCTGAACTTTTGGTTACGTAACGTGACGTATGGATCTCAATCACACTGTGTTGCCAGGACCCACCCTGCTCTGTTTCTGATAGGCTTGTAACGTTAGTTAGAGCTGTGCTCCTCTCATATGATTGGTAGGTGAAATCAATTGACTCGAAAATATTAACCCGCATGCAAGTTCCCAATTATTTTTTTTCACGGCCGCATGCCGGAGATCCAGCACGGGATATTCTTATTGTTAAGCCCTGCAGCAAAGTTTGCATTCGAGTCTTAAAAATTCGGCCTCATTTTAACACCCTCCGTCTAGTCAAATGTGCAGTGCAGACACAGACACATAAGCTACTGACACCCACCCACACAGCACACTTCCTGGATGTGATTTTATATCCTCAGAGTAATACCAAAGAACACAACATAAAAAGAACACAGATTCAGTCAACTGTGTTTTTAGGTCATATTTCCATAGCATGCAAAAAAAAGTCACCCACACACGCTTACCTGCACATTCTCCTCCGTTACTTGGATCTCAGCGGTGTAAACATAGTCTATCAGCATTCCCAAAGTCCAGCCATCAATCTCTTTGATTCGAACCTTCTTCTGCCGGCTCTCGGTCATCTCTCCTACAAACACAAATATTCAAAAATGTCATATATATATAAAATAACAACCAAGTTAAATACCTTGTGTACCTTCTAAACTTAAAAGGTAAACGTGATGGCTGGGGTGCTGGAGGCAGGAATACGGTTCCCAGCATGCACCATGGCTTGTAACTCCAAATGACTGTTTACTGCATTATTTGCACTGGTGTCATTGTGTTAGTGGCTCCTGTAATTTATGCATAAATCTAACTAAATCTCTGCCCTCGAATATGTCACTGTCATAGTGGTTGGTATGTTAAATTTTTAAGGCACATCAAATTGGTTAATAGAATTACTAGGGTTTTTTTTTTTTATCTCTGGGTCATTTTTTTTTAGACACTTTGCATCCTTAGCGGCAGCAATTATTGTTAGATGAGCAAATATTGCATGAATTAACAGTGAAATATACACTGTAACAAAACCATGCAAATTGAACCACTTATTTGTGCATTATTAGTACAAAACCTAAAAGTGAGTCATTTTGATTCCCCATCATGAGAGCAAAAATGTACTATTTTACTTTTTTTATTTTTTATGTATCCAGCATAAGATATGCATGTGTGTAAGGCATTTTTTTATTTCCAGACTATGATGACTATATTCCAGCAGCTCTGACTGCATGACCAGCTGGTGGTCTAACGGACTACTCGCCCTAATGTAATGTTCCACTGGAGTGAATGTGTCATAATGTCTTGATAAATGTCTCCTTTATAATATATATATATATATATATATATATAATTTTTATTATTATTACATAGCACCTTTAATGCTACTTTATAGTTCTTATTGTAAATTAATTTTTCTTGTCATTACTTTTGTATGATGATTTGGCAATATTAAGCACAATCATGCCAATAAAGTACTTGAAATTAAAATTGAAAAACGTGTATGTTCTCACCTGTAAACATAGCATGGAAGTAAGGACTCCCAGCAGCTAAGACGACTCGATGAGCAGCGATCTCCACATCCTCCGCAATAATAGTGACATCACACAGTACACTCTGACTGCAGAGAGGAAAGATAAACATACACACAGACCAGTTTTTACAATTCTTCACACAGTGGCCTCTGTGTGCAAAAGTAATTGGATACTTTGGACAAAATTACTGAATGATTACAAACATCAAACCTTGTGGCATCTGCAAATAGAGGAAGTTCCTTAGACTTTTAAGCAGTGTCAAGGTGATTTTTAATGGTTATTTGAATTAAGTTCCCTCAAATTCAAAATTCTGAGGCCACTGTGTGGGTTAAGAATTTCAAGAATTTAATTTTTTATTTAGCTTAAAATGTGTGCTTGTGCTAGGCTGCATATATGATCAAAATACTATAAAAAAAAGTTATTTTAACAATTAATATTTCAGATTTTATTATTATATATATTTTGTATATATTTTTATTCCTGAATTTTCAGCAGAGATTACTCCAGTCATCAGTGCCACGTGATCCTTCAGAAATCATTTTGCTGCTCAAGAAACATTTCTTATTAATCTATGTTGGAAACAGTTGTGCTGGGGTTTTTTGTTGTTGTTGTTAAAAAGAACAGCATTCTTGCTTTTATTTGATATTTTGTTCAATTTAACGCATCACTAAATACAAGTATTAATTTATTTTAAAAAAATCTTACTGACCCCAAACATTTGTACAGTACTGTATATTGTAAATAACTGCCACTTGGTTTGATATTTTGGTACTATCTGATGCGATCTGATTAACTGTTTTAATGTTAACAACAATAACATTTTTATACACATACCTGAAAAACTAATTCAAAATTCTGTATTTGTTTACTCATCTTCATGTCATTACAAATTTGTGAGACTTTCTTTTTTTCCCGTTCAACACCAAATGAGGTGTTAGGCAGAATAGTTAACCTCAGTCACCACTCGCTTTCATTGAATCTTTAAAAAGAAAAAGGACAGTGACCTTTGACTGAGGCTGTCATTCTGCCAACATCTCCTTTTGTGTTCCACAGAAGAAAGTGATGAAAGAATTTTCATTTTTAGGTAAATTATCTATTAATAGCAGAAACATAAAAATTGTGTATAATCAATGTTACGAAGAGGCACTGCATGATTTCTAACAGTATCACACACACACCTGCGGAGCTCGTTCATGATCCTGAAGGCTTTCTTCATGTGACGTGGATTGATGGTGACTGCACTCTGTTTCTCACACACATCATCCTTCAGCTCCACAGCTTTATGATGGCAAAGCTTAGTGCATCTGAAAGAGACACACACACTCTGAGTGGTTCATCACCAACCACAGTAACATTACACAATCTTTAGAGTGGCCATTTGGTATGGTAGATTGCTTCAGCTACAGAATAAAAACATTAAAAAGGTCATTGGGACTTCATCTCACAATTCTGTTTATATTTTCCTCATAATTGCGGGTTTATATCCCTTAATTGAAAATTTTCCCAGAAAAAAATAAAGTCTGACTTGTGAGAAAAAAGCTAAAATTGTGAGATAAAAAGAACCTTCTTTTATTATTATTATTATTATTATACTTCTTTATATATGGACAAGCTTCCATAATATGGGAATTTTCAAATGTGACATGTCAGTTCCTAAACATGTGAGAGAAAAAGTGTTCTAGGTGTGTGGACAAAGACAGAGAGATGTCATGTGATCTTACGGCTGAACTGATTTACTCTATATTGACATGATTACAGTAGTGTGAACACATGCAGAGCTCTTCCTCTCTCTCTCTCCCTCTCTCTCTCACACACACACACACAGCACTTACAGTGGATGTATCTCCATAGCGCTGGTTCTGTTCACATCAGTCTGCGTCTCTCCATCTCTGTTCGGGCTGTCGTTTAAACCCCCGCCGTGTCCCGTTCACAGAACCGAGCCGAACCGGGCTGGACTGAGTCCCGGTGTGCGGGTCCAGCTCCGCAAACGCAAATTAAAATCGGCCTCAGAAACGGTGTCAGTGTGACTGACGTGTCCGGATAATGAGAGACAGACAGGTCCGTTGTGTGGGTGAAGACAGGACACATCCAGAGACGCTATATCTCACATACAAAAACAAGAGTGAAGGAAAGAATGACACTCTCCTTCGGCGAAACACAAAAAGCACGAGCGGCCCCACAGCGGCGCCTACTGCTGGAAGACCTCAATGTGCGCTTGGTAATATCCTTACGGTCTATCTATGCCATAGACTCTATGGTAATATCTCTCTCAGACCATGATTGTTTTGAGGTCGAGTAAGTCTTAAAATTACATCGTGTTTCTAAGTAAGATTTTTAATGTTTTGAAAGAAGCCATTATGCCCAGCAAGGCCGCGTAGCCTACTAAAAAAATACAGTAATATACATAAAAAAATACATTACTGTACTATTGTAAAATATTATGACATTATAAAATAAGAATTTCCTAATTTTAATATATTTGAAAGTGCAATTCCTGTGATGATAAAGCTGAATTTTCAGCATCATTACTCCAGTCTTTAGTGTCACATGATCCTTCAGAAATCATTATAACATGCTGATTTGGTGCTTAAAAACATTTATTATTAGCAATGCTGAAAACCGTTGTGCTGCTTAATATTTTTGTGTAAACTGTGATATTTTTCAGGATTCTTTGATCCTGAAAAAGAACAGCATTTATTTGGAATGGAAAACTTTTGTAATATTATAAATCTCAGTGTCACATTTGATCGATTTAATGTCCTTGCTGAATAAAAGTATTAGTTTCTTAAAAACCTCACTGACCACAAACGTTTGAACATTATTGTAAAAAAAAAAATATATATATATATATATATATACTATAATATAATATATATATATAACGTCCAAATAGTGAAATGTTTTCATAATAATAAAAACATTTACTTCTCTTTGTCAATATCAGTGGCCCACCCTGTAACATCATACTTTCATAAAATGATTTAGATGAAGTCTAGTGTAACTAGATGATACACTTTACTCCAGTCAGTATTTTTGAACATTAATTTTAGTACGGAGAATTAAACATTCCACTTGTTGCACAGGGGCAAGATAAGAGTAAAATATCTTAATGTTGTTATTTTGTGACAACTTTACAAATGATTGACTATTTATTTTAAAATACTATGCATAAAATGTCCCCACTATCTTGACAGGTATCAATGAAAGATACAACACTCATCTCACTTACAACCCTGGGCTCTGTAAACAGCAGAGAAGAATCTGACCACAGACCACACGTGTTAGCCAATCAGAAAACACAGAGGCGACTCTCTGCCAATGGCATGAGTTTTGGGTGGTGCTACTTGTTTGTCAAAATAGTGTCAAACTCTTTTGCCATTTCTTCTTCTCCAAGATGATTTGTACACATTAAAATTATTAGACACGAGATTTCATTGCTACAGTGTTTATTTTCCTTCAGTCATTTGTAGCTGAATTGTGTCCAATAAACAGAATAGGTCTCTGAAATCTTTAACAAAATATAACCAATATTTACAATAGTTGTATTAAAAATACAAAAGTAGTTACAGACTTTGCCAGTTGTCTTTGTAAAAGACGTAGAGATACATGTGATTCTTATAGATTTGGCTGGGTAGAAACACAAGGAGCTAAAAGCGATACATTTGAACTCATGACATTCTATATAAAATATATTGTAACTATTTACTGACCATATCATGACCACCTAACATCTATGCAACAACTATAATTTATATTTTCTCGACTACCATATCTTGCTTCTGAAAATTTGTGCAACAATTCATGATTTGTGCCATACACTTTGACAGCCAGAAACAATGACACTGACAGATAAAATTAAATAAAAATACAAAATATTAAAATCTTTTCAAACAGAATCTTGTGGGCACATTTGGAAAGTTTAGGGTCACGATCAAATGAGAAAAGGCATGTTTAAAATGATCATATACTTGTGAGTAACATTAAACACTGATATTGAGGTCTGTGAGAGGCAGCTGCTCAGTCTTTTCTTTCTGTCTTCAAGTGTCCGAAGAGAGCTACATCTCCTGTGATTGATTCACTCTATCTCTCTCACACACACACACACACACACACACACACACACACACACACACACACACACACACACACACACACACACACACACACACACACACAGTTTCTGTAACACGTTACAATCTAAAGTAACATGGCAGATTAAAACTTGAAATGAAATGGCATAATACTGGTTTCCATGGTTTTGTAACACTGAGATTGCATTATGTGCAACACCTCTCATCATTCTGTACTTAAAACAAGACTATGTTCTTCATTCTATTACACAACAATCTGTTTGTTCCTTCTTGTCTTTGTTTTGCAGAACTTATGTTAAAAGTGCCTTTCTCTGCTCCTTTCCTCTTTCACAGTGATCTCCATTAAGGTCCTAAATGCTTTGCTATATTTCAATCCAGGGCCAAGGTTGTGAAACACTGGGGGTAGAGATATTATAAGGGGCCCTTATTACACTGCAGATATTTGCTCATTTTCTGTAAAGAGAAAAGACAAGAAAAGAGAGATTGAGTTATAATATCCAAATATTTAAAAATAGAAAAAATAACATGCAATTTTTATTAGATGGACATATTGTGCTTCATGACCAATACATGATTTTCATATTACCAATTACCAATATGCAGAACTGCTTTTAAATAGTTTTTTTTTAATGTTTTTATTAGGGCTGACTTCTAATAGTCGAGGATTCGACGATTTGATTCGGAGAGGTCTGATTCGACTATGAACCTCATAGTCGAATAGTAGGGAAGTGTTATGTAACCAATAGGGGTGTGACGGTTATTATATAACCGTGAGACCGACGGTTATAGTTGAACACCGTCATTAGAACTCTATAACCGCCAAAACTGTGCTATTAAAATATTTTTTACAAACATTTTTTTATCATAGAGAATGTTTAAATATCATCTTACGAGGGAAATTGTGGCGGAGTTAGTGGTGCGATCGGAGGCTGCTACTGCTAGAGATGATTCGGGAGAGGTCTGTGCCCCTTTACCGATCAGAGCGCGCGCTGACACGGAGTAAAGCCTTGTTTATACTCGACGCGTCCGCACGAGCGCGAAGGTGCGCACGGCAAAAAATTACGCGTTGGGTGCGCAAGACCGACAAGACCCCATTTCGCTTGGCTGTGTGCACATCTTTTTTTGTAACAGCGCGCGCGACGCCGCATCCGAGGATGAACGACTTCAAGCCGAATCTGCCCGAGCATGTAGGCTACGTCTCACCGCACCGGCTCGCAGTTTGCGCGTCTAAATTGCAAAGTTCATTGCAAAGTTTTTTTTGTTAAGGTTTTGTTTACTGTGTGTGATTTATTTAAAACAAAGCACGTTCATTGCAACATTTTTTTTGTTTGTTTTTTTGTTAAGGATTCATTTAATGGAAAGCACATTCACTTCTTGTCTTGCTGTTCATTTTAAATAAACGTAGAGCGAGTTGTCCTATAGCAGACCAACAGTTATTCAACCGAACGTCTAGCTGCTATCTAAAAAAAAGAAAGAAAAAAAAAAGTTTGACTTTCAGTCGACTACAGCAAAATCTAACGAATCAGATTCGACTATGAAAATCCTTAGTCGAAAACAGCCCTAGTTTTTATTTCGTGTGTAAGTGTATCAAACAACAACAATAAAATCATATTATGAATGGGAACATTTTATTTATTTTCTATGCAAAATTTTGGGCTGTGTAACTGTTAACCATTAAAGTCCTAGAACATTTTTGGGCCACCTGACTCGAACCATTCTAGTAGTCAGCATCAAGTGCCATATATCATTTTAAACAGAAGACGTTTCAATCTAGCTCATTTAAAGCCACAATTTTACATTTATTTTGTCTGAGAATGGATGAATTTACCAGAATTAAGAAAAACGGCAGCAAAAATTTTTTACGGTGAACTCAAACAGAGCCTCCTGAAGTTTGTATTTTTTTCTTAAGAAAGTTTACAGTATGTATATATGTATATATATATAAAAATTTTGCTGCCGTTTTTCTTAATTCTGGTAAATTCATCCATTCTCAGACAAAATAAATGTAAAATTGTGGCTTTAAATGAGCTAGATTGAAACGTCTTCTGTTTAAAATGATATATGGCACTTGATGCTGACTACTAGAATGGTTCGAGTCAGGGGCCCCAAAAATGTTCTAGGACTTTAATGGTTAACAGTTAATTTGTTCATGTTCAGATTGAATTTTATATACAGAGTGTATATATATATATATACATACACTCTGTATATAAAATTCAATCTGAACATGAACAAATGCAAATACTGCCGAAAGTAGTGAAAACAATTGAGAATTGTCTTGTAAAAAAAAAAAAAAAAAAAAAAAAAAAAAAATTACAAAAGAAGTATTTACAAACAAAATGGTTCTCTTGGCTGCTTATTTTATTTTTAAAAACTTTATTTTTGATTAAAAAATTAACCAAAAAAAAAATTAAATGGGTAATAAAATATTGGTCAAAATATCAATGTCTATGGTCTCGCGGTTTTTAACAGTTAGGTCTGGTCTTCCTATTTAATTTTTTTGAAAGTCAGAGCGATGTTTTGCTGATATTTTTGTAGTGATTACTGTATAATCAAATACTCACCATCTGGTTGTGGTCGTCGTGGTGACTGGCAGTAAGCTGGTAATCTACTCGATGGGTGCACTGGAGGAGCATCACATGACCTTTTAAGGAATCGAGACCTCTGCAGAGCGGCTGTGTAGTCTGGTGGCCGTCGCCCATGAGCATGACTGTGGCTGTCTGCCTCAGCCAATGACAGAGCAGTATAACCAGGTGGTGTGGGCGGCGGCTTTCTAAAACGTCCCTCCCTCCGACTCGCAGTATTCTTGTTTGTATTTGGAGTCTCATCTTTTCCACCTCTTCTTTTTATCGTTCCTGTGTCGCCTTCCAATTCATCACCCCAGTAACCGGTAGGTGTGGTCACGTGACTACGTCCCATCCCTTCTGACAGCGTCTCCCAGCTGCGGTTGTCATAACAACCCACACGCTGTGGAATGCTCTGGATGTTGTCATGGGAACCACTGGAGCAGGACGTCCAGCTCCCACGGCCACTGTCTACTGCGTCCAACGACGCACGGTC